ATGTCAAATTTCTCTCTATTCTACTGGGGATTACAGGTAGAACAAAACTAGCTAAAAACAAACATATTTTTGCTGAAAAAAGTAAACAGTCCAATCTTCCAGAATCTGGTTTCATATTTCATATAGTCATAGCACACAATATTCTGTGGGTCTTGAAATCAGTGAAATCATCATAAACGACTGGCAATCAATGAGTTAATGTCTGGTACTTCCGGTTCTTATACGTTCTGGATGTGTGCGATAGCTTCTCTGCAGTATTTTCTTGGAACTTGTCGGCTTTCAGTCAAATTATTATGGAAGTAGTCTTTGTAGCGGCTCTGACGGCACACGCCGGCGCTCACCAGGGTCCTTCACTTGTTTGCTTGTAAATGAAGACATTGCCCGCATTCTCCTCTGAGGTCAGCTCAGAGGACAAGGTCGGTCTCTGGCCTCGGGGCGGCCATTATGAGTGGAGTTTGCATGTTCTCCCTGCCTCTTTGTAGGTTTCCTCTGGGTATCCCGGTCTCCCCATATATATAAAACATGTTCAATAGCCTTCATATCTCCTCACCCCAGTGTGCAATAGGGGTGTGCTAAATATAGATTTATATTTATAATTTGAGATATACTTTTTTGTCAGATTTTCTTTTGATATTTATGTTTTGACATTATATTGTATTTTTTTATTGCATTGTTTGTTTCATTCATTGGGACTGTGGCTCAGGTGGTAGAGCATTGGTCTTTGAAGCTAGTGGTTGTGGGTTAATTGTGTTATTACCATAGACTGTAAAAATTAACGACATAGTCATGCCTAGCTCCTCCGTTGAAACTAATGTTCCACTACTTTTGCCTTCTGTGGCAATATCCCCATTATTTTAAATACCTTCTGAGGTCCACAGGGACTAGACTGGACCCAAAAAAAAAGCATTGACAGTATCTGGAACATAGCGTTGGGCCAATAGTGACATTTGAACGACACTCAGATCTATGTCTCACTGACTGCAGGAGAACATGGACCAGTGGACTCGCTCCTTCACTGTATCCAACAGATCAGTGAGTGGATGCAAAACAACTTCCTTCAGCTAAACGCAGACAAAACTGAAATGATTGTTTTTGGTCCCCAGAAACAAAGCGAGAGCGTCATCTGTCACCTCCAGTCTCTCTCCCTAAAACCTTCTAACAAGGTCAGAAATCTGGGGGTAATACTGGACTCAGACTTACAGTGCCTTGCGAAGGTATTCGGCCCCCTTGAACCTTTGAACATTTCGCCACATTTCAGGCTTCAAACATAAAGATATAACATTTTATTTTTTGTCATGAATCAACAACAAGTGGGACACAATCCTGAAGTGGAACGAAATGTATTGGATAATTTAAACTTTTTTATTATACGGCTCCTCACAGCAGCAGTAGAACGCTCCATTGATTTGAATGTAATTTCAAAACGTTCTACCGGTCATTATTTTCTATAACGGACCTCTCAAAACAATAATGGCCGCTGCCCATGGCAACGCACTCTCCGCTTGTCTTTCAAATGCGTGGATAACTCCGCAAGTAGTTCCGGCCACTCCTGAGCTAGCCACGCTCAATCAACACACTTAAATGTTAATCGGAGAATACTTATACATATACATTCTTCACACACGTGCACGGAAATTTTCAGAATTTTCTGGTCTTGTCTTCATGACAAAAATACTATTTCTCTGCGTCAAAAAGCGATCGTGAAAAACCCGGAAGTAGTTCTGGCCGCTCAATAAACGCAAATGCCAATCAATCAACGCAATGAAATGTTTATCGGAGGGTGAATTATACATATCCAGTCTTAATACAAGTGCACGGAAGTTTTCAGAATTTTCCGTTTACGTTTTCATGACAAAAACACTGATGTAATGCGAGAAAAGGCGATCCCGAAAAACCCGGAAGTAGATACCGGCACATTTTCGGACACATTTGCAGAGGATCGAATTATGGATTTAGGTTAGGTTTATGTATGGGTCACTCACCGCTGATGTTCAGAATTCTTTGTTCAGTTTTCATGCAGTTCCAGAGAGTTCTAGTTTGGAAGTTGCCAGCCTAACTGTTGCTAGCATAGCCACAATTGTCAAAGCCACACTGCCTGCCCGCGGTTGCCGAGCAACGGGAAAACTTTTTGGGACTACTTTATTTGTTGTCATTAAATAAACTTTTGGCATTCTTAAAAGTGATCTGAAGTTTATTTTGTGTGTTAAGTTGGTACAAAGCAGTATAATAAGCGGGATAATGTATAGCATACAGGTCATTATCGGAAAATAAGTACCTTCAGGGCGGAAGCAGACCCCTCCGCTGCATTATCCCGTACTTAACAAATGAAAAACTGAAAAGTGTTGCGTGCATTATTATTCGGCCCCTACACTTTCAGTGCAGCAAACTCAGTCCAGAAGTTCAGTGAGGATCTTTGAATGATCCAATGTTGTCCTAAATGACTGATGATGATAAATAGAATGCACCTGTGTGTAATCAAGTCTCCGTATAAATGCACCTGCTCTTTGATAGTCTCAGGGTTCTGTTTAAAGCGCAGAAAGAACCATGAAGACAAAGGAACACACCAGGCAGGTCCGAGATACTGTTGTGGAGAAGTTTAAAGCCGGATTTGGATACAAAAAGATTTCCCAAGCTTTAAACATCTCAAGGAGCACTGTGCAAGCAGTTATATTGAAATGGAAGGAGTATCAAACCACTGCAAATCTACCAAGACCCGGCCGTCCCTCCAAACTTTCATCTCAAACATGGAGAAGACTGATCAGAGATGCAGACAAGAGGCCCATGATCACTCTGGATGAACTGCAGATAACTGCAGCTGAGGTGGGAGAGTCTGTCCATAGGACAACAATCAGTTGTGCACTGCACAAATCTGGCCTTTATGGAAGAGTGGCAAGCAGAAAGCCATTTCTCAAAGATATCCACAAAAAGTCTTGTTTAAAGTTTGCCACAAGCCACCTGGGAGACACACCAAACATGTGGAAGAAGGTGCTCTGGTCAGATGAAACCAAAATCGTACTTTTTGACCACAATGCAAAACGATATGTTTGGCGTAAAAGCAACACAGCTCATCACCCTGAACACACCATCCCCACTGTCAAACATGGTGGTGGCAGCATCATGCTTTGGGCCTGCTTTTCTTCAGCAGGGACAGGGAAGATGGCTAAAATTGATGGGAAGATGGATGGAACCAAATACAGGACCATTCCGGAAGAAAACCTCCTGGGACGGAGATTTATCTTCCAACAGGACAATGATCCAAAACATAAATCCAAATCTACAATGGAATGGTTCACAAATAGACGTATCCAGGTGTTAGAATGGCCAAGTCAAAGTCCAGACCTGAATCCAATCGAGAATCTGTGGAAAGAGCTGAAGACTGCTGTTCACAAACGCTCTCCATCCAACCTCACTGAGCTCGAGCTGTTTTGCAAGGAAGAATGGGCAAGAATTCCAGTCTCTCGATGTGCAAAACTGATAGACATACTCCAAGCGACTTGCAGCTGTAATTGCAGCAAAAGGTGGCGCTACAAAGTATTAGCGCAAAGGGGCCGAATAATATTGCACGCCCCACTTTTCAGTTTTCTATTTGTTAAAAAAGTTTAAATTATCCAATCAATTTCATTCCACTTCGCGATTGTGTCCCACTTGTTGTTGATTCTTGACAAAAAATTTCATTTTTATATCTTAATGTTTGAAGCCTGAAATGTGGCGAATACTTTCGCAAGGCACTGTAAATTTTTATAGCCACATCAAATCAGTAACATCAGCAGCTTTCTACCATCTAAAAAACATTGCCAGGATCAAAAACATAGTGTCTAAAGCAGACTTGGAGATTCTTATCCATGCATTTGTCTCCAGTAGGTTAGACTACTGCAATGGCCAGCTCACAGGTCTGTCCAAACAGGCTGTAAAACAGCTGCAGTACATTCAAAATGCAGCAGCTCGAGTCCTGACAAGAACCAGGAAGTACGACCACATTAGTCCAGTCCTCAGGTCTCTGCACTTGCTTCCTGTGGCTCAGAGAATAGACTTTAAAACAGCTCTGCTTGTGTACAAGTCTGTCCATGGCCTCGCACCAAAATATATTAGTGACATGTTAGTCCCATATGAACCAGCCCGGACTCTGAGGAGCACAGGGACTGGACTCCTGTTAGTGTCCAGCGTCAGAACTAAACATGGGGAGGCTGCTTTTCAGATTCATGCTGCTAAAATCTGGAACAGTCTTCACGAAGATGTGAGACAGGCCTCCTCTCTGACAATGTTTAAAACCAGGTTAAAAACAGTTCTGTTTAGCTGTGCATACAACTGAGGGATTTTATGTTTTTATCTTTCCTTTTAATGTTCTGTGATTGTTTATGATTTTAATGCTATCTTGTTCAGCGCTTTGAGTTGCCTCGTGTATGAATTGTGCTATACAAATAAACTTGCCTTGCCTTCCTGTTAAGACATTTTTGACAGGAAAGAAGACGGCGTACATAAACATTGGCTAGTTCTCCTTCCGGGTACACCCCCACCGGCCTGAAGAGAGATGTCATCGCACATGCTTATGGAACTGTTTCAACCGGGACCCGCCCCTACTGGTTATCCCCCACAAGAATTAAATATAAAATACTGTATGTTTTAGTGCAATTTAATATATAGTTGTGTGTTTACATCTGTTCTGAGGGTCTGGGACAAAGTCACTCAGTAAAGTGACAGTGACAAATGTGGATTCATATTGCACATTCTAACTTATATCAAATTATTGCACAGATACACAACACGTGAGGTCAGGTCGGCAGTGTTTGTTAGTCCTCACTGTTCATTGCACAGCCTGACAGCAGCAGGAAGGAAAAACCTGCGAAAGCTCTCCTTCACACAGGGAAGGTGGATCAGTCTGTATTCAGGCGTTACATATCTGCAGGCTCTGATCAATACTTAGCTGTTTGTGTGTGTGTGTCTGCGTGTATCTATCTGTGTGTGTGTCTGCTAATATCCTGTCCTATCATGTGTCTCCTCAGGATGTGTGCAGTGCTCTGTGGTGCAACGTGGGACACACCTGTCACTCCAAACTGGACGGAGCCGTGGACGGGACGAGCTGTGGAAATGACCAGGTCAGAGCAACACACACTGCCTTCGAACATATTGTAGGTATTCAGCTGTATGATTTTTGATAAACAATTAATGCAGACAATTCCATTCCCCCCTTTGGTCTGTTAAGTCTCTAGAGAAGTAACTTTACAATTCTGACATTATTCCCTCATTCTGCCCAAATGCTTGTTCATTAAAGTTGTTACACTCTGACAAATCATCAGAACATAACACAATAAACAGTCATGTACTTAAACAAAATGATTGTCCTGAATTACACACCTTCATGATGGATTTCACTTTAATTAATCAAATTGTAATGCCCCCCTTCTGCCACTAGATGGGGTTTTAGAGCGTGGATTATTTTGAATTCTATTTGAAATTAGTGGTGGGGGGAAAAAAATGTTTGCATGCAATTCAATCGATAAAGTCCCAAAATATTGGGATTAAATAAAAAATCTATAATTTTTTTTCTCAGCGTGTACTCAGCGTGTACTCAGCGTGTACTCTGGTCATTTATATTTGAGGTTCATGTTCCCCCATGATGTCTGCTTGTTGTGACTCGAGTCTGTTGTAGGTGAATATTGTGTGTTCTGTTCTGGGAGCTAACCTCATGTGAGAGTCGTGTGTTCAGAGAAGGTTGATGTCTTAAAAAAAAGCTCCTGCGTCCTAAAAGTTCAAGGATAAAGTTTTTTCACTTCTTTCCTACGTGTTTGCACTTTCACTGTGCAGAACATAATAAATGTGAAATTTTAGTTAAGTCTCATTTTCCTTAAATGTTGAAAGGCTTTTCAATAATATGAGAAGGGTTATATGATCGAGATTCTCTGACCTGTGTTGGCAATTTCAACGGTTTTTTAAAGTCCTCTGAGATAAATTATGTTGTGATTTAGGGCAATACAAAAATAAATTGGATTTAATTTAATTTAATACACTGAGAATCACAGTGATATTGAATTGTGGCCCAAGTATTGGATCGTCACATTTCCTCCAGTATCCACCCCTATTTGAAATGGATTTGTGGCTGTATTCAGCTGTATGATAAATAAGTGATATAAGTAAGCTCTAATTTCCACATTGTGTTTTGCCCAGTGGTGCGTGAGCGGGCGGTGTGTGTCAGTGGGGCAGTACCCGCAGCGTGTGGATGGAGGCTGGGCTTCATGGAGCCAGTGGTCAGCCTGCACCCGGACGTGTGGCTCTGGAGTGCAGAGTGCCCAGAGGGACTGCACCAGCCCCCCGTAAGACTCCAACACAACTGTAACTGTGCGTGGGTACCTTCAGAGAAAGCAAGGGTCGATAGAGCAGGCAAACGGAGGTGCTCCAGGAGAGACACATTTTTCAAGATACCGTTCCTGATTCCTCTGACTTTCCTTAGCGCCGATTATAGTGGCGTATGGGAGGGCAAACTTAATCCATGACGCCACGGCGGGCTAAGCAAGGGAGCAGACACTGATGACGCGCAGTCGGAGATATTGCACAGTATAATGAAGTTTATTGCGGAGAGTAGAAATGAATCAGGCACTTACTTGGAATGTTGCTATGTATGATGATGAAGATACCTCATTAAGACAGTGCAGATATTTTAATTGATGGAAACATGCGGTCAACAGAAAGTTCCTTTCCCAGCTCACCCCACCGCCATGACAGGCACACACACACACAGCTGAAGTGAGCGCGTGCACTGAATAGACAACCACACCCACTGGACCCGTGCATGATACTATATGCGCGTGCATGTACTAGTCACATTCACACAGAAAAACAAAAACCCTAAATGGCTCCTACACTCCGGCCCCTAATTATTGTGTGCTAATAATTACCCATCACCATTAAACAAGTAGGAGAATAGAACCATAACCCAAAAACACCAAAAAAGGTAAAGGTCTAGAGTCCAGTTTTAGTACGATCATAGAGTAGTCCACAATCTAGTAATGTCTCAGTTCATTCAAGTAATCCACAACGAAAGAAAGTTCAAAGTTATAATCCACACGATCTTCACTGCTCATCTGCTTCCTGCAAAAGGCACAGCTTGGTAATCGGACGGTCCAAAGTACTTGATTTCGTTTTAATCTTCACTGTGCGTACTAATCCATTCCTGTCCGACACAGTATCCACGACTCGAGCTGTAATCCATGAATTACGCGGTGACATGTCATCCACCAGCAAGACAACATCTCCAGGCAAGAAATTCCTTTGAGCACGATTCCATTTTTGACGCTCTTGCAATCCTGGAAGATACTCCTTTAACCAACGCTTCCAGAACAGACTGGACATATACTGAACTTGTCTCCAGCCAAGCCATCCATTCTCTGGCTACAGATGGGGGTAACGAATCGTCCCAGCCCAGACGGTTCCTACAGAGATTTTGGAGGATTTTCTTAGCAGTAAGAACAACAGGTGCCAGAAAGCCAAGAGGATCATAGACTGAACTGACAATGGATAAAATCCCTCTTCTTGTGAGCGGACGGTTCTTGAGTGTAATCTTGAACTTAAATGCGTCTGACTGTACACACCACTGTACACCCAAGGCTCGCTCAACTGGTAAGGCATCACTGTCCAAGTCCAGATCTTTAACTTCCTTGGCTCGCTCTTCTGGAGGTATAGCAGCGAGGACTGTGCGACTGTTGCTGATCCATTTTGTGAGCTTAAATCCACCTCTGGCGCACAACTCAACAAGCTCTTTACATAGAGACAAAGCGGCTTCTTCAGTGGCGACGGACACCAAGCAATCATCTACATAAAAATTGTCTAGTAGAGTGTTGATTGCAACAGGACTGAAGTGCTTCCGATTGTCCTCAGCACATTTTCGAAGGGCAAAACAAGCACAGCTCGGGGATGAGGTGGCGCCGAAAAGATGTACCACCATTCTGTACTCAACCAGTTCCCGTTCACAGTTTCCGTCGGGCCACCACAAGAATCTTAACAGGTCACAATCTTCTGGCGGCACTCTGACCTGATGAAACATAGCTTCGATGTCTGCCATAAGCACGACTGGTTCTTTTCGGAATCTGGTCAGAACACCAACAAGCTGGCTTGTAAGATCAGGTCCTTGGAGAAGGTGAGAGTTCAAGGAGACCCCCTGAAAGGTGGCTCCCCCATCAAAGACCACACGTAGTTTTTTCTTTTTAGGGTGGTACACACCGTGATGGGGTATATACCACACTCTTCCGTCGCTTCGCCTCAACTGCTCAGCTGTAACTTTCTCTGCGTACCCATTCTTTAGCATTTCGTTCATGAATTTGACATAGTCTGAGCGAAAGGACGAGTCTTTAGATAAGCGTTTTTTGAGGCCGATTGCTCTTTGTTCTGCAACTGTCTTATTGTTTGGCATTTTGAGGTATCTTCGTTTTACAGGTAATCCAATACTATAGTGCCCATCAATATGGTTGACTGAATGTGAAACAGACTCCACAAATCTCTCATCCTCCTTTGACAATCCATGTTGTTCATCCTGTTTGGCCTCGGGAAAATCAATTTTCAGCTGCTTCTCCCACAGCTCATCCAGCCTTGCCACTGAGATCCGATTTACAGAGACGTGAGGCTGTATTTGTTTGTCCATTTGGCAATCTCCTCTGAGTGGGCCATTTACTGTCCAGCCCAGGATAGTCTTAACGGCATAAGGGCCCCCATTAACTGTGCGAACAACTTCCCAGGGCTCCAACGCCTGAGGTACATTAGTGCCAATAAGGAGATCCACATCTGCTTCAATCTCTGGAATTTGAATATGCCTCAGGTGTGGCCAACGCTGCAGGTCCTTTGCTTGTGGAATATTTCCTCGATGGACAGGCATGCTTTTTTGAGTGAAGATCTCCGGTAAATTGCAAAACTCACTTGTTTTTAGACCAGACACCTCCAAATCTGTCAGCATATAGCTATCCACAACCTTTTCCTGGCCCATTGTCCGAAGGAGAATGCCCAGCTTCCTCCCTGTGAGGTTGAGACGATTCATTAATCTCTCGGTACAAAACGAAGCTGTGCTCCCTGGATCCAAGAACGCATAAGTGATCAGAGTCTCTTGTCCTCTTTTTGACTTCACCTGAACAGGCAATATAGACAGAGTACAGTCCTGCCTGCCGGCCCCAGTTAAACCACTGGACTGCACTGACACCAAATCACCTTCTCTGGCCCCTTCTGAGCCATCATTAGCCTGTGTAGAACCTTTTGATCTGTTTTTGGAGTGGACATGTAACAACGTAGGATGCTTCAGGTTGCATAATCTGCATGTGAGACGCCTTTTGCAGTCTCTACTCCTGTGCCCAATGCACAAACAACCGAAGCACATATTGTTCTCCTTCAGAAAAGACATCTTTTCATCTTGAGTCTTTCTATCCAAAAGAAGGCAAACATCCAAAGAGTGTCCAGCTCCACAGAACAAGCACGGCAAGTTCCTATCTCTTGTGTTCACAGGCTCCACTTTCTTCGCAGGTGCTACATTGGTGGCAAAACTACTGCCCCGTGGCTTTACTCCAGTCCGGAAAGATCCAGCTTTAGACTCTTTTCTTCCGGTTCCAGGTGCGTCTTGAATATCTCCAAAAAGAGGATCACTTGCGATCTTAACTTGTTTACTCACAAACTCCACAATGTCATAGAATGTTGCTCTACGGTTGATTTTTTCTTGTAGATCACAGGCAACACATCTCCAACGATCTCTTAGCTTGTAAGGCAGCTTTTTCACAATTGTTTGCATGTTAGAGGGCACATTCAGGTCACCCATAGATTCTCCCATGGAGTTGCAACACTCACGGAGCAGTAGACTGTAGGCCTGTAATGCCTTGAGGTCTTCTCCTTTTACCGAAGGCCAAGAGAGCACTTTGTCCATGTAAGCTGAGGCTACTTTAAATGGGTCTCCAAAATGTTCTTGTAGCAAGGCCTTTGCTTTCATGTACCCATGAGCGGGTGGCAGGTGTTGACAGCTTCGGACTATGTCTCGGGGCTGGCCTCTTGTATACTGCTCAAGGTAGTACAAACAGTCTTTGTGGCTGGGAGTCCGGTCTTCAATATTGTGTTCAAAACCTCTCATGAAAGTTTGATATTGAAGTGGATCTCCATCAAAAGCTTGCAGGTCACGTTTGGGTAACAGGAAAAGTGATGTGATTTCATTCTGCTTTTCGAGGACAGTAAACAAGCGGTGGTCGGGGATGCTCTGACTTATATGCATGTCGTGGTCAGGTTGAATGAGAGGGACAGATTGATATAATGGAGTCTGTATTGATACTAAATGGCTGGGCCCTGTAGCGGTAGACTGTAGCCCTGTTTGGAAACTTGCTTTGGGCTTTGCTGCCACATTGACTTTATGAATGCTTGTGTCTTCTGCTTGAGATTTCTGTGTGGTAAAAGTGGGCACAAACGTGGAGGCGTCTACATTTAACTGTGTATTTCTACTTTGTAAATAAGAGTTCATTCCATCAGATTTGGCTGATACACGAGAACCTTCAGACGCTTTTAACACATTCATTTTTGCCACAGAAGCTGCCAGTTCCATGTCCAAATCCATTGACTCCATTTTCCTCTTTAACTCTTCTTGTTGTTTCTCCATTTGTCTCCTTAATTTTTCCTGTTGTTCCTGCATAGCATGTTTTTCTTTCAATAGTTTTTGACGGGCCATAATAGCGGCGGTCTCAGCTTCTGCTCTTAATCGTGCTGAGGAAGTGCTTGACACCGCAGACTTGTGGCTCACAACAGTACTGCGTCTCTTTCCAGATGATGCATTGGAAACGCTGTCATTCGGTTCGATTTCCACTGCAGTACTTTTCAGATGCATTACAGTTTTCAAAACGTTTGCTGTGTTTTCGTTTGAAAGAAGCTCTTTCCTTGGGAGACATTCCTGCTCAACAGCGCACTCTGCTGGTATTTGTTGTGCATCATCCACTATTGGCAGTTCCAAGAGCCATTTATTTGCCTCCTCCACACAAGTAGCTTTATGCTCCTCCACATTGACAAACCATGCATTCTGCTGTTCCTGCTCATCAGAGGGCACCATAGAAATGACTTCATCATGCAACTTGCTTGCTTCATTAAACAGAGTTGATACATTTTCAATGCAAGAGCGGACCTTTTCAGTATTTACAGCATTTTTCATGAGCTCTGTCATTTCTCTAGTTGTCATTTTGATTTGTTTTACTTTAACTTTTCTATCATGTTGAAGCCTTTCTAATTTCTGTTCAAAGGCTTTAAATGTGAGCTTTGATTGTCTTTTTTGAGTCTCTTCTTTTGACCCTTCTTGAGGTGACATATTTCCTTCTCAAATATCCACAAATCTCAATTCTGCTGTGCACACTTCTTGATTCCTTTATTATTTCTCTCCCTTTTTTTTTACTTTACTTTTTATGGCTTTTGCTCTAAGACACAGCGTTCCTCTCCCCAACACTCACGCGGACCCAGCTCCACCAATCTTCATTTAAGTGGAAGCTCAAAAAATCCGTAAAAACCAAACCAAATAGCACTTCACCTTTTGTACAAGCACTACAAAGTGAGGGGATCAATAATCCATGTTATTCGCTAAAGCAATGCCTTTTTAGCTCAAGCCCTTGATTGACGTGTGCAGCGGATTTGTGAATGAATGGGCACTGCGTATTATCCATGCGCGTTCACGTCTATCTTCACAACTTTGATAAAGATTGTAAACATCCACAGTTGTCCGACATTACAATGAAACTGCGCTTCAACAAACGACAGAAATTTCTGTTGACAATTATAGTGGCGTATGGGAGGGCAAACTTAATCCATGACGCCACGGCGGGCTAAGCAAGGGAGCAGACACTGATGACGCGCAGTCGGAGATATTGCACAGTATAATGAAGTTTATTGCGGAGAGTAGAAATGAATCAGGCACTTACTTGGAATGTTGCTATGTATGATGATGAAGATACCTCATTAAGACAGTGCAGATATTTTAATTGATGGAAACATGCGGTCAACAGAAAGTTCCTTTCCCAGCTCACCCCACCGCCATGACAGGCACACACACACACAGCTGAAGTGAGCGCGTGCACTGAATAGACAACCACACCCACTGGACCCGTGCATGATACTATATGCGCGTGCATGTACTAGTCACATTCACACAGAAAAACAAAAACCCTAAATGGCTCCTACACCGATTACAAAACATGTGCCTTTCATTCATGCAAATCAAAGATAGTTTGTGAACAACTCAGGCCACAACATGCTGTCTTTATCTCAGTGTGTAAAGATAGAAATAGTAAGTAAGTAAGTAAGTAAGTTTTTATTTATATACCGCCTTTTCACTGCAGATCTGAGTCTCAAAGCGGTTTACAATTGTTAATTTTTGGGCATTTGTCTCTCACTCCACACAGAGATGGGAGCGGGGTCGCCAGTACAGGAGGCGCATGCCAGAACTATTGGACATATTTTTAGTGGTAGGGGAAACCGGAGTACCCGGAGGAAACCTACGCAGACACGGGGAGAACATGCAAACTCCACTCAGAAAGGCCCTGGTCCGACCGGGATTCGAACCCAGGACCTTCTTGCTGAGAGGCGAGAGTGCTATCCACTCAGCCACCGTGCCGCCCTATAATAAGAATAGAATAAATAATTCTAATGAGAGCTGATTGGTTGAGTGGAGCTGGTACTCTCTTTTTCTCTGAAAAGCATGCGTGTGAAAACTTGTGATAGAAGCAAACAGAGCTGAGCTAAGAGCTAGTTACATGTGTTTTATTACAATACCCACAATTGTAAACCGCTTTGTGACTCTGGTCTGCGAAAGGCGGTATATAAATAAAGATGACTTACTTACTTACATGGTTAATGGCAGGCAGAGTTGCAGTGGATCAGGACGTTCTGACCTGTCTGCTGGTCTCCTTCTGCCCAGGCCTCGGCACAGGGGGAGGTACTGTCTGGGTGAGCGCAGCAGGTATCGTGTGTGTAACCCGGGGGTGTGCGCTCAGGAGCAGCCCAGCTTCAGAGACCTTCAGTGCAGCCACTTCAACAGCCTGCCTTACAAAGGACAGCTCCACAGCTGGGTGGCAGTCTACAACCGAGGTAAGCCCTCAAGCTACTCCCTCATTAAAAACAGACATGGATTTCCTTGCACAAACACACCCCCCCACCCCCATCGCCCCAAGTGCTTTTTTATTAAACTGGCTACGCTATGATAAATCCTCAGAATATAATGCAATAAACAGTAATTTATTAAACCAAACATATTGCCTGTAATTACACGCCACCATGATGGATTTCAAATTAATTCAGCAAAATGTCCCTTTTCTGCTACTTTATGGGGTGTTGACACATTCTAGTCAACTCTTGTGATTATTTTAAATTCTTTTTCCTTTTGAAATCGATTTTTTTCCAAATATCTGTGAAAATGGTCACATTGGTCGAAATATTGTGACTCTCTGACTCTCTGGTCGGCCAATGCAGCTACAGCGGAGGTTCAGTCTGATGGACAGAAGAACTACGCTCACTGCACTGAAGTCCTCCTGCTCTTACTGCACGACGACAGAAATCAGTCAATCACACTCAGCTAGAAGCACCACACTGCGGATCCTCACCTGGCAGCACTAAAGCTTTGCCTACATCAACCTTCACATCGTCAGGAAGCTGTTCTTCAAGCAGCATGATTTTGCCCTTGCAGTGACAGTGCTCTCGGTCAAAACACACGAGACAAAGGTTTATGCCAGAGGTTCTAGGCACAAGACCAGCCCCACTGGCCCACAGCACATGTATTTAAACATTAGAAGGAGGACAGGCCGTGTGTCTGGAATTTGTTTTGTGAGGTGCCTGAGGTGTGTACGAACCGCAATAAAGCTCTTGTGTATTCTGTTGGAGTCTTTCCCGATTGAATAAACAATAAGCAGAATGTAGACATGAATTAACTGTGAATTATTTTCTTTTCCTTCTCTTTTGTTTGTGTGTCTGTGTGTGTGTGTGTGTGTTGTCTCTGCAGTCAGCCCATGTGAGCTGCACTGTCGGCCACTCCACCAGCACTTCTCTGAAAAGATGAGGGACGCTGCGGCTGATGGAACCCCGTGCTACGAAGGAGGTAGCAAAAGCCGAGATATGTGCGTCAATGGCATCTGTAAGGTAGCATACTCCACCTGTGTTTCCTACTGAGAGGGCACTGTTCACTAACCACTCATTTCCTTTAACTCACTTTACGTCCATCTTTAGTATGTCTTGGAGTTTTCAACCACACCTCCATGAAGGCGCGATTTACATAAACGTCAGGGAATAATGAGCAAATTTGATCAGCACACTGACTCACAGCGAAATGGACTTTATAAAGGGCTAGAAAATGAATGAATGAATGAAATATGAACCAAGTTTGGCTCCATCTCGTCCTTTTGACTTGCATTGAAAAGTAATCTCCTCTTGCTCAGTATTCGTTCAAGTCACACTCACTAAATTTGTACGACAAATTCCAGCTTTCCATAGCAACCATCTTAGCAACACATCTGTCCCTATTACGGTGTGAAGCTAGCGCTATTTGAACGAATGCCTATATATGGAAATTGGCTCCAGCTAGCTTATGCTCAAATCAGCTTCTTCCGCATTCAGCTAACACTAATTAAAACACATTTGTGGATACACTACAACATTCACACTGATTCAAACTTCCATCCATCCATTTTCTTCCCCTTAATCCATTTCTGGGTCGGGGGGTGGCAGTCAGAGCTGCACCCAGTACACAGAGCACCAACCCCTCACTGATCCTCCTGCAGGTGGTGAGTCCACAGGGGGAAAAGTACAGCCTTGATCTTGTAGCGGGGGCTTCAGGCAAAGTGGGGTTAAGTGTTTCTCAAGGACACAACAACAGCAGACATCAGTGGGAGTTGGTGGAGAAGGTCTAGTGGTGGCTCAGACCCTCAACTGAAGAAACAAATGATTAGATTTTGATGGTGATCCATATCCATGAATAGAACTGAACACATATGAACATGAATCCACACTAATATCAAGAACTCCAGTCACAAACTTGTAGCTCCGCCCCTCTTGTCTAAAAGCTCCTGTCTTCAAATAGAACGATGTCAATGTACCGCTAGGACATCACATTCAAACCGTTTTCTGCATTTTAATACAAACCTATTACCCATACATTATTATTTTTTTTCTCATGTTCATTACAGTCACATGGCTGTGTTTGAGAATTAAAAATGAATTTAAAGAATAATTCTACAGCTTCACCTAGTGGTAGCACAGGGATAGGATATGCCAATATTATTCTGTACGCTTGATACTTGTTTCACCGTTTATTTATTCAAATGAAATGTCAAAGTAAGCAATGTTTTAGTGGCCAAAAATAATGCATAATTTTTATTTTTCAGACAAGGCAATAATATTTGTATAACACAGTTCATACACAAGACAACTCAAAGTGCTGAACAAATGAACAACACATTTCATTTCAGGGATAATATTTTTAGCAGCATGAATCTGAAACTCTGCTGCCGCCCCATGTTTAGTCTTTACTCTGGGACCAGCAGGAGTCCAGTCCCTGTGCTCCTCAGCCTCCGAGTTGGTTCATATGGCGCTAACATGTCACAGATGTACTTTGGAGCGAGGCCATGGAGAGACTTGTAACGAACAGAGCTGCTTTAACGTCTCTCTGAGCCACAGGAAGCCAGTGCAGGGACCATATATGTTCTACTTAGGATATGAATTCATTAATTTATTCATTTATTCGTTCTTATATAACAATACAGTCACATAAAGAACAGGAGTCGGATGAAGACCAAGTAATATTTAAACCCCTACCCCAATCTAGATGGCTTCATGTCAAAATGAAATGAAAAATTGAAAGTGACATGGAATACGTATTTAAGTAATAAGTATTTTTTATAGTGGCCAAAAATAATGCATCATATTTCTTCTCTAACATTAAAGAAGGCCTGTTTTGGTATTCTAACCTACTTTCAGCAGCGATGTGACATAACACGGTGACCCAGATGTGCCTGCAACGTATCTGCTTGTGGTTCTAGTCTGTTCTCGGCTCCATTTGACCTATTGTGAGTAAAGTGTGCGATAGGGATGGGCGTCGGACTATCTCTGAGATAACAGCGGCCTGAGCCAAATGTCACTCCTCTGAGCTCTGGACACAAGCTCCATGACCTTTGTTGACATTTTTACTCAATTACAAAAGATATCTCCCAAACTGACAAGGCTTATTTCAGTTTTGCTTAAAAAATGAGTTTGGTAGAATAGTCAGGACTGTTTCAATCTGAAGAGACCAAGACAGCAACATTAATGCATGAAAAAATATGTATTTGTTTGGTGCATTGACCCCGGCGGTGACACTTGCAGAGGGGAGATCATTTGCTGCTGAAGATTATCTCAGATCCCCCGCAGTCAAGCACTGGTGGTGGATAGAAGTATGGTGTGAATGGGGCGTAGGCAGAGCAGGAGCCAGAGCAGGAGCCAGAGCAGGAGCCAGAGCAGGAGCCAGAGCAGGAACCTGACCAGGAACCATGAGGAGGTGCTGGGGAGGCGGTGGGTGTTAAGAGCCTCAGGAAGCGCTGTTTATCAGGAAGTGGCTGCTTTTAACTGCCCGCTTTGCTGTCAGTGGGTTGGCAAGAGGCTGACCGGGCTGAGTGATTGTCGGAAGCTCGAGGCTGGCAGCGCTGTGTGATTGGCAGGCCCTGGACGGGTGAGAGCTGTGGCCGGTCTTTCAGTCTGAATTTGCGCTTCAGCTTCATTACTCCAAACGCACCACACAACCTGTACTGTATGGGGTACGCAAAGGTATGATTAGATTCAGATTAATTCAATGTGCCAAAAGTCCCAAGTGTGCACCAGACAAGTACATAAATAAAACAAGCTAAAAAGAAGCAATTTTACTGTGGAATCGATATCGGCATGGGTTTCCCAGTGGATAAAGTAGTTCCTGGTTTATTATACCCGCAATAACGCAAAATCCACAAAGGAAAAGCTGTGTGTTTAAAGTCTGTAAAACTCTAGTGTCATGTGTTGGCCTTATGACATATGCTGCATCTGTGCTCAGAGCATCGGCTGTGACCTGGTCATCGACTCCAGCGCCGTGGAGGACCGCTGCGGCGTGTGCAACGGCAATGGATCCACCTGCGCCACCGTGCACAGGACGTTTGACCAGAGCCAGGGACTCGGTGCGTATACCTCATTTATACTCAGGGTAATATAGAAAAGATACTTATGACCACGTTATAACACGTTTCCAGCCAAGCCATTGTTCTCATCAAACCAAGCTAAAATTAGTAGCTTTATCCACACTGTGTAAAGAGTGCCCCCTGGGTGCAACTCCCAAGCTGGTCTTTCTATGTTGAGGTCTTTGTGTCTGCAAAGTTCCTCCTGGTACTCAGTTTATAGTTTGATAGTGTCATGCACAGGGGGTTTCCTCCCTTCTGTCAGTGAAGCGTCTTTCAGTGTCTGAAAAAGCACCATATAAACCCGATCCATTATTATTAACTTCACAGGCACATGTGCAGTACTAAGGACATGAAAACAAACTATTTCCTGTTTGTCTTGTCCAGGGTACGTGGACATGGGCCTGATCCCAGAGGGCTCCTGGGACATCCGCATCGAGGAGGTGGCAGAGGCGGCCAACTTCTTAGCCCTGCGCAGCGACTCTCTAAACAAGTACTTCCTGAACGGCGGCTGGACCATCCAGTGGAACGGGGAGTACAAGGCTGCAGGGGCCGTGTTCTCGTACCAGAGGAGTGGGCAGAAGGAGAGCCTCACGTCCCCGGGGCCCACCACCGAGTCGCTCTGGATACAGGTGTGCACTGCACAGGGAAACTGTCGCACCAGACAAACGTGCCGCGACGCACATGTGAATATTTATATCACCGTTTACTTTACATGTGAACTCTGATCCGGTGTGAACACTCCATAACGGACAGTAACCGTTTGTCTGTGTGCGTTATATAAATAAACATTACTTACTTACTTACTTGACTGTCATATCCTCTTTGCTCCTATCGGAGTATGAAATATGAATATTTAGTGAATCTGTTGTGTGTGCAGCTGCTGTTCCAGGAGTCCAATCCTGGAGTGCGTTATGAGTTCACCATAAACCAGAACGTGTCCGCACACACAGAGCTGGCTGGAGCTCATCAAATAAGACCAGAGAGAATTGTTCAAAAAAAGTGGAGAGGCGTTTTTGCAAAAAATTTGGAAAATCTTTCCTCTAAATTCCCATTTTCTACTTGAATTATGCCTGTATGATTTTTTGTGGGTTTCAGAAGAAACATTTTTGTATTTTTTTTTGCCATGTACTGGGCATTTTTTTCTTCTATGAAATGTCATTGCCATCTGCCATGAGTTGTCATACCTTTCAATGAAAGCAAAAAAAAACAAATGTATAAAATAAAGAAAATAAAAACATGTCGTACTAGCAAATGGTCCACTGTGCTACATTATTTAACTGTGTGTTTACAGAAACAACAGTTCGACGAGTTGATACCCTTATCAGCGTACTTATCTGTTAATGTTTTGGTTTCTCTTTCTTTTTGTGTCTTTCCCCAAGCCCTGGCGATCCAAGATGGCGCACTATTCAATGATGGTTGTGGCTCAGTGGTGCTTTTGTGACGCATGGGGAGCTGAAGAATAGCGAAGTCGCCTGGAACATCGCAAAGATCTATGGGAAACTCGCCTGTATTAGGGCATCGTCTGTCCTCCCGGTTCAGTGCAGTGGATGATCTTCCATAAATGCGTTGCGCCAAACACGCGTGTGTGGTCTCACAAACCGGTCTCTACACGCAAGTGCGACAGAGGGGCCTTTCGGCTGCGCTGTGACCAATCAGAGCAGTTCATCCCAGAGCGGGAGTTTAGAGCGAGAGCCAGACGAGCATATTTGTGGCACCTAAAGTGTGGATTAAACAAAACAACCGAAAGGATTTAAAAAGAACAATCAGGATGACAGGGACACTAAATCCCACAAAAACCGACCTTCTATGCAACTGTAGTCTCCTCTGTCAGCTGAGGTTGAGCTGTTTTAAAATGGATCATGAGTCCTATCTGGGAACATATACTGGTTAGGCCACGAAATTAGACCTGTTTAGTCTGCTTACCGCGAGAATCCCCCGAGCCCAAGAGTTATTCAGCTACAACTAGTACCCTATCCAGTTATTATAAATAGATCCATGGTCTTTGTAATAGTTGTTGCAGAAGTTATGGAAACATTTGGTAAAATGTGAGTTCCATGTATGTCAGTTTTATGTTGTATAATTGGGAATCGAATAGATAAAAACTGGTTTGGGTATTGATCCAATTTTCACCTATAGTATACTTTAACTTGTTTACTGTGCACACTTGTGTTGAATGTTCCACAACATCATGACTCTTGTATGTTTTTCGTCATCTCAACAATATTTTTGGTATTTTTTAATCAGTGTGGCGGGTAAAGTTGACCCAAGCATAACATAATGTAAAGATTTACCGATCTAACAACATGTCTCTGCTCTTCTCCTGATGCCGTAGAAAAGTCTGGGCTGGTGGACTTCTCGACCTTCCTGACCATGATGCACCGGCAGATGCAGCAGGAGGACCCCGAGGCCGAGATCCTGGAGGCTCTGAGGATGACGGACAAGCAGAGGAAAGGCTACATCCAGGCCACAGAGCTGAGGGCCAAGCTCACCACGCTGGGGGAGAAGCTCACGCACAAAGAAGGTACCCCCCCCCGAATGATCACGGAGGTTTCAAGAACTATAGTCAAGAAATCTGTTCTGGTTTGTCTCCAAATATCCAGAAATTTGAAAAAAGATGGAGAAAGAGGAACATTTAGTAAATTTGGCAAAGATGTTGTGGCTCTACTCCCCACAGGCTTCGTTACTGTTAGTGGTAAAGGAGATGGCTAAAGCTAGGCTAAATGCTAAAGCTAGGCTAAATGCCTCCATCAATCAGGCACATAACATACTAAACTCAGGTAAACTCAGATCCAATCGTTTCATTCTTCAAAAGGAGTCAATCCCTGTCACCTGTTAACTGAGTCAATGGTGTAAATCCAGACCTTTGCACAAAATGAAAAGAGTACGATTGTATGGTAAGACCCTGTCCAGACGAAGATGAAAAGGCCTTTCATTTTGTCATTGTAGTATGTACAGACAGAAGCGGCTGTATAAATGTCTGTCCACACAAAGCTGAAAAACAAATCCCTTTCACCTGAGAGTTTTCTAATGTAAGATTTTGGCCTGATGGAGGCGCTGTGACGCTACGACTGGAAAACAAATCAGACAAAGAAACAAGCAGCACAGCCCCCCCCCTTTCTAGAGCTAATGAAATAAAATAACAACCTTTAGCCTGAGTGGCCACGTTATTTAAACCAGACGTGTCCAGGGGCCGACAACTAGATTTGGGATCTTCTGCGCTTCATAATTGGCTATGACAGAGCTGAAGTTGGCTGGGTGACTTTCTGCCATCTCACCAGCTTCATTAGCACCAATAATAGAATTGTGTTACGCAATCGAAAACAGATTCATACAGCACATACAAATACACGGCTGAACAACCAGGTACTGCATGCCTTTATGGACTGAGCTGAAGTTGGCTGGATGACACTGTGTTTATAATCTCTACTCTACTACTTTACACTACTCTACCTACTGTGTTAGCGGCAGAGGACCACATAGAGCCTCAGTTTGGACATGCCTGGTCTAGAACACAGTCTTGTGAATATTTATTTTTCGCAATTATTCCTGAAAACTTCAACTAAAACTGTCCTCTTTGGTCCTGGTAAAGTAACTGTTTTCAAATGTAGTCGAGTACTTAAAAATCTTACACAAATACTAGTACAGGTTTAAAACGACTGGTGCTTTGTGTCTGCAGTGGACGATCTGTTCAAAGAGGCCAAAGTCAAACCAAACGGCAGCATCGACCACGTGAAGTTCACTCAGATGGTGACGCTGCCCCCGGTGGACTACTGAGGCACTGCAGGAGCACAGGCCAAACACCGACAGCCCACGTCCTCTTCCTCGTTCATCTATTTTTCAACAGATTTTCAATTGGATCTCAGTCTGTGCTCTGACTGGGCCATTCCAACATTCCATCGTGGCTCTGGTTTCGTTTAGAGTCCGGTTTGAAGGTAACTCTTGGCTCCAGTGTTTTCAGACTCAAGATTTCGTCCAAAATTCCTGTGTATTTGGTTCTGATCATTTATTTTTACAATCTCCCTTGTTTTATTTCTCTAACTTTTCCAAGCCATTGTAAAGTGTTTATATTTTATTTTATTCAACTTGTGAATTTACTATTGAAGCAATCACAAAGGATTCAACAACGGCTCCCGCTAAAATTTAGTGTCACAAGAAATGACTTCCCTGTATGATAAACTATTGCTGTAAAATGTATACAACTATTTTCAAATAAACAAAGAAGAATAATTATGACTCAAGTTTATTATGGTATGGAAAAATACGTCATTTCAATAATGTGCGTCAGCTACATGACAGAGATCAGTGTCATGAAAGGGATAATATATACATGCCAATTAGCTCAATTAACGTTCAGGGGATTAGTGGTGCCATGGTGATGTCACATACAAACATTTCCCCGGTGTCTCTGCAGAAGCTGTCGTGTGAGTCTCAGGCTGGAGCCCCTCTTCCAATTAAAAAATAAATCATCGGTTAGTTATTTGTAAATTGTATTGGGTCATAATCATAATCTGTAAAACTATGAGACTTGGACTTGACTTGGACTCCTGGGTTCCAGACTCGGACTTGGACCACTGGGTTCCAGACTTGGATTAAAGTGGGACTCCTGGGTTTGAGACTTGGACTTGACTGGTACCCTTGGGTTCTAGACGTGGACTTCGAGACTTGGACTCCTGGGTTTCAGACTTGGACTTGGACTCCTGGAGGAGTAGGCATTCCAACAGATGCTTCTGGATGTGGAGGAGCAACAGCTCTAATCCGAGCCCCTCCTGTGACTGACCAGCTACTCTGCAGAAGGAACTCATTTGAACCCCGTGTTGTTCTTTGACTGTAGCTCTCTGCTGACTGTAACTCTCTGCAGACGGTAGCTATCTGCGGACTGTAGCTCTCTGCAGACGGTAGCTATCTGCGGACTGTAGCTCTCTGCAGACGGTAGCTCTCTGCTGACTGTAGCTCTCTGCAGACGGTAGCTATCTGCGGACTGTAACTCTCTGCGGACTGCAGCTCTCTGCAGACTGTAACTCTCTACGGACTGTAGCTCTCTGCGGACTGTAGCTCTCTGCGGACTGTAGCTCTCTGCGGACTGTAGCTCTCTGCGGTCTGTAGCTCCCCGCAGACTGTAGCTCTCTGCGGTCTGTAGCTCTCTGTGGACTGTAGCTCTCTAACACATTCAACCTGAACTCCTGTGTTTATAATGGTAGAAGAACATGCAAACTCCGCACATGTGACCCGTCTGGAGCTGGAGTTAAAGCAGATTCTTTGCTTTTAGACTTTAAATACAGAAGTAACTTTGACAGAATTAAACTCTTTTACAGAACATTGCTTAGATATTTTTCCACCAGATTCAACATGAATCATCCTCTTTACCCAGCATCCTCCTGGTCCGATCCATGGTTTCACTGAATCGTGGCTTCATGGAGCTATTCCTGATTCTGCTCACTAACAACAGCAGCTGTGTGCCGTCTCACAAACTTATTTATCGGTGTTGTATGACCCTAAACTTCTGGTTAGATGCTGAACTACATTCCGTTGCGTTGTCCTGACATTATAATGACAGTAAAGTTGAATCTGAACTTTCTAACGGCTTCGACAAACAGTCAATAACAAACTCGTACTTTTGTTTGGTAGCATTTATTTATTAGTACAGAGACAAAGACGATCCTAAAACCAGACATTTGCACGTAGTAAATGAAAGCTACACTATACACAATGCTTGGAATGTAATTTACAAATAATATAAATTGCACCAAAAATGAAAAAAAAAAAAACATACAAAAAGGAATCTCATTTAGGCTTTAAAATGGCATTGCACAAATGTGGCTGCGGCCGATGAAAGACTTGTCAATAAGAGTTTCTTGAGGCGCCAGTGCACTTTAAAGTTTGCAGATTGTTTGGACAGACACGAAGGAAGCAGGGAAAGAACATTCTCCAAACATAAGACAAAATAAGAGAAAGTTCCAACATTCTCTTTGAATCCTGAGTCTTAGGTCGTTTCCAACACCGAGTGCAAAGCCTGCTCCACGTTCATCTCCATCTACATTACAATCGGCTGAATTTCGACCGATCAATCAGCGAGCACGTTGTAGGTCGGTGCCGGTGACGTCAAGAGTGTGCGCCGAACGGGCAGGTTGTAGTTTGGCAGTGGCAAAGAATGCGAAAGTAAAGTATTCCGGTCTGGTTCTATCAAGAAATTGAAGCTGGAGCAAGAGGAATGTTTAGCAAATGTAATCGCTGGTCAAGATTGTGGCGCTACTCCCCACGGGCTCCGTTAGCGGCAAAGAAGATGGCTAGGCTAAATGCTAACGACAGACTCGGGCGCATTACATACGTCACGGTAAACTCAGATCCAATCGTTTCAATCTGCAAAAGGAGTTAACCCCTCCCACCTGTTCACGGAGCTCAATGGAGCAAATCCAGACCTTAGTATGAAATGTATTTTGTACTATGGTGTGGTACGACCAGGCAAGCTCAGAACCAGGACCGTGGAGAAAAGGGGCATTACTGGCGGTTTCCAAACAAAAAAAGAGCAACATATTTTTGCATTAATGTTATGAGAGTTAAAAGTGGAACTCACAGTTCAAATATAGCAGATAATTTCATGAAAAATAATGACATAAAATAACGTCCCCATTATTCCCCGTACAGAGTGCAAAGCCTGGTCCACATTCATCTCCATTTTCTAATCTGTTGTTGGCAAATTGACAATTCTGTGACAGCCTTTGAGGCAACTGCGTTTTTGGGAAAACACAGATACATTGACTTGAAATTAAAACTTGATCCTTCAAAGTACTTCAGATCTTCAAAATGCAGACAGATGCAGAGATCAAAGCTCCCAGATCTCAGACCTATTTATTGAGACGTGATTTAGAATAACTTCCTTCTGAATGTCGTTGTTAAAAGTGCTCAGTACAATATAAAACTAGAAAGATTGCAGATGTTTTACGGCTGAAAAACCCTTTGATCTTATCTCCGCAGATATGACCTGTAAGTCAGTCTGGTGAAGTCCCTTTTCTTTGTGTAGATGTAGAAGATTTACTTATTATCATTTTGTGAATCCTTCAGGGCAAAGTAACATTGAGATGAACCTGAGAAAATCATAGCCCCTCCCCTCTCGTGTTGAGGAACCTTTAAAGTCCGTTCTGCACCAGTTTATTTCCAATGACCTGATGAGTACCTGACCAGTATAAGTTCCTCCAGATCGGGCGTGTTGGAGAAGAGGCCTATCCAGCTGCTGAACGTTGAATCAAACAATTATTCTTGCACCAGTCTAATCTAAAGTGTTACCATCTGGTTTGGTAGGTTGCTAGGATACAGTACCAGTTATCTAAATGTTATGGAAACACAACCAGGTAGAGCTGGTGGAAACGGGGCTAAAGTTTCTCTTCTGAAGTCAGCTTTTAGCAGTCTCAAATCTAATTCCTATTGTGTGCCTCTTTCTGAGCCAGTCACATCATTCCCTTCTTGCACTTTTGTGTAAGAATCAAAAAGCCTCTCTCTTAAAATACAATATTCTCCAAACTATATTTTTACTGGCACGACTAGACCATTACTATGTTTTGTAGCATTATTGAGTAACTTGAGTGAACCTTTCAGGCACTGGTTTTACGTTTTCTCAGAAAGAGACTAAAGGTGGAGCCTCGAAACTTTACAAGAGACCGAGGACGACTAAAAACAATCACAGAAATACATGGATAAAGGGAATAAAAGCACTATAAATGTAGGGAAATGTGCAATACTAACCTAAGGCACATGTTTGGTGTTGATCACTTTTGAATGGGCTGGAAACGGTGGAGTTGCTCTAAAACAATTGTTGTTTTGCGCTTTACAATTTTTTTATTTTCTAGCTTTTTCCTACCTGAGATGTTGCTGCAGTACAGTGTTCATTGTTTTAAACTGGTCCAGACCAGAGCACAGAGGATTCATGGTCCGAAAATCCACTGGAGGAATGCTAACTTTTAGAAAAATGCTAAATAAGCTGCAAATATCAAGGAATTGAAGCTGGAGGAATATTTAGCAAATGTCATTGCTGTCAAACGCTGAAGCTAGGCTAAATGCTAAATCCCTCACTCCCTCGGGCGCATTATGTCCAGAACCAGTCCAGGACCAGCACCTTTAACTGCCATGGAATGTTTGCTGCCAATTTACATGGAAATGAATGGAGCAGTCAAAATTGGACCATTTTGACTGCTCCATTGCAAGTTAATAGTAGAACTCGCATTTAAAATATTAAAGATAATTACGTGAAAATAATGACAAAGAAATAAACGACAAATAGAAACAGAACAGAGTTATGAAGACCACAAATATACATGTACGGAGTAACTGCACTTCCAAAACACTGGAAGTCCGAGCAATCAGATGCAGTTCAAATCACAGGAAATGCGTTTAGTCCCTGATCTCCGTGTACCACAGTTATGTTAAAGGGGATTACGTCATCGCGTCATCTGCATCTGAGCATCTATCCCCCTGGCTCATTGTTAAATAGATACTTCATGTGAATAATCAATATTGATATAAAACAATGTCATAAAAGAGTCGCACACCTGCTGAAAACTCCGCCGCTTCAGAAAAGTAAGTGAATACCTGGGGGGAGGGGCGAGGTGGTACGCTCCGAGGACTGAGTGGGGAGCAACGGCGGCTCGGCCCGTCCTTATGCTGATATGAATAATACTAAAACAGTTTAAATCGACGAGAGAACGGTCAAAACATGCATGTGACGTCTCCTTTAATGTTCTTTTCCTGAATGCTTCTGAGGTCGCTGATGTGATCAAAGGCAACACATCTCACCACAGTCGGGCTGACAATAATACAAGACAAAATGAAATCAACAAAGTTATAAATTCTGGTCCCTGATCCCATGAGTTCAAATAGCACCAATACTTCTGTACACGCTACATACACTTCCTGATGACCGGACTCACGCATTTCAAACTCTTCCGAACTGAAGTTGTCCATTTCCCCATTGTAGCTACAGTACTGTTGTTAAATGTGTTCAGGGTTTTGGCTAATACACGAAGCTAGATGTGGAGCAATGTCCCTAACTCCCAGAATTCCCAGAGTTGTCATTTTGACTTCTTTCAACACAGAAAAAGTTTACCACCAGTTTTATTTAAAGTAAGTCATTTACAAAGGAATTGCCGTTACTCACTTTTGCATGTGCGAAAACTGGTGAATATAATGGAAATAGAGCATAGGCTATCGAATGCCAACTTCTGCAAGTAAACAATGTGTTGCTATGGTTACTATGGTCACATCTCTGGGAGTCCAGGACCAGCAACTTGAAAAGGGGACTTTAACTGCCTTCAGGGCGTCGTTTTTATGCTCCAGCACGGAAAACAAACCGTTTTTCCAATGCTTTTGTGCCCTCTGCCATAAAACTGTTGAACTCTGGTACAGGTGTTTGACTTTTGGGAATTGTGTTCTTCTGTGTTATTTTTTTTTGTAGAGCATGTGTGACATAAAGATACTCTGTGGGGGCTGTGCTGGAGAGAAGGACGAGGGCTCTCATGCAGGGCATCCTGGGTAACCCTTTGTTCCTTGTTCCTGTTACTCACTAGAAACTTTTATCATTTCACACTTGTTTGTTATGAAGTTATGAAGACCAAAAATGTAGACAAGCAGAATATTTACGCTTCCCAAAATAAAATCAAAATCAAAAATGGACTGCACTGGGAATTCTAGTGTTAATATTGAAAGTCGGAACTACTTTCTTCTTGCACTTTCAGCTTCATCAAGAGCACCTGCTTTTCTTTGCTTCGGGCAGAGGAGTTCCACGGCTGGGAGGGGAGTGTTCACCTGAGTGCTCCCAGCTTTGGGGCTTTCGTACCGGGCAATGCTGCTGTCCATTGGGGGCTTGGGGTTCCGGCGGTGCCCTGAGCTCCTGCCGTGGTCTTGGGGCCTGGGGGTCCGGCGGTGCCCTGAGCTCCTGCCGTGGTCTTGGGGCCTGGGGTTCCGGCGGTGCCCTGAGCTCCTGCCGTGGTCTTGGGCCCTGGCAGAAGAGTGCGTAGGCGCTGGTTGCAGGTCCGACAGCACTGGGATCTCACGTTGGCCAGAGAGCAGCGTCCTAACCAGCGCAGAGTCTGGCAGAAGCGAGAGGAGAGACGGTCCCGGACACACACTGTTCCTGTGAAGACACAAATATCATGCATTTTTTTATAGCCATAACTCAGAACAGCAGTAATCCTGGAGGACTTTATTCATTAATTCATCGTATCTATTTTAGCTTCCTCAAGGAGTCGCTAGTCTTCCTTTGGTCCACTCCACATAGGATCAATTCACAAAAAAACATTTTAAAAAGTACATCATAAAGAGCGATTACAACACAAAGTAACCCAAAACTGAATAAGCCTTTCACATCATCCTGCAACATTTATTCAAGCATGAAAACAAAGAAATGTTTGTCACCCATCTATGTTTTGACTCATCTCTGCACGACTGAGAGCTCACACAAACTCATTCAAGTATTGTCGTTTTATTTTCTTCTTAAAAATATATCTATTATTAGCTTGCCCTGACGCCATAAACAGCTGAGGATCTTGGCTTGATTTTGGAAAAGGGTCTTGATTACTGACCTGCCGGCAATGACCGCTGTAAACAAGAACATTGAATGTCATTAGAATTTTTGTATAATTACGTTTATAGATGTAATTATACAAAAACACAAGAGGCTAATCTTTAACTTTAACTGTACTTTACACCGGGCTCAGGAGGTGTACATTGTGCAAAGTCTAAGTTGTCAATTCCTAAACAACTGAATTTAACCATGGTCCATCCATCCATCCATTCATTTTCTACCCCTTAATCCATTTCTGGGTCAGGGGGGTGGCAGTCAGAGATGCCACCCAAGTCTCATAGCACCAGCCCCTCACTGACCCTCTGCAGGTGGTGAGTCCACAGGAGGATGGCTGCTCTGTCAATGTGAGCATAGCCATGATCTCTCAGCAGGGGCTTTGGGCAAAGTCGGGTTAAGTGTCTTGCCCAAGGACACAACGACAGCAGACATCAGTGGGAGTCGGTGGAGAACCTTCAGGCCTAAAGGCCAATGCTCTACCAACTGAGCTACTGTCGCCCTTAACCATGGGTAACCATGGTCCATAAATGTCAAATGTCCTTTTGTGATGGTAAACCAGCCATTTCTCTGCGTGACGAGATCAGCGTATCCAGCAGAAGCCTTCAATACTATACAGACAGAAAAATGTAGTTAATATGAAAAAGGGAAGAACTCTATCTTGTATGTAAGAAAAAAATCCTTTGCACTAAAGAGATCTAAGATCTCTCAGCGACCCTATAGAAAAAGTTTCCACATACAACAATGCAAGAGCCGGTTGATTGTTAAATGTTCAGTCTTCCTTTTAAACCTTCTAAGCCTTAAAAGCCTGCGCTTCATGTGCTGGCCTTGGAATAATATGTTTTCAACAAGTGGAATCTTGATGTTCTTCCAGTCTTTTGTCAATAGCTGGAAGAGTTGGCAGCAGTACATTGACAGAACTGTCTCCACAGTAATACTGTAGGTTTGTATGACGTATACCTGACCTTGTACTGAGTACAAGGGCAGGTTTTTGTAGATGGATAATGAAATGTGAAGCGTCTCCAAACAAGCGCCCCGTACATTAGTATCTTTATGCATTATTATTACTGTATGTGTTTACATCGGTTACATCAACACTTTGTTTTAGTTCAGTGCCAGTGCCATGACGAGGACCGACCGGACACCGCTCGCTCCTGGTGCGTGCTCGGGGGTAGCATTAACAGTAGTCTGCTTCTCTGTGGCTTTTTTGGGGTGGAGTGCTGGTCTGCTGTCTTCATCCTGCACCGTGATCATTGTCAACTTTACATGTTCTGCGTAGGTTTCCTCCGGATGGATCATTAAGACTATTGGTCCTCCCAATTGTCAATCCTTGTAGTGATACGGGCTCATCAAATAAGACCAGAGTTTTGTTCAAAGAGGGGAGAGGGTGATTTTATCCTGACATTAGCCACAAACATATGGAACAAACTCAATCCTTCTGCAAAGTTTCAAAAACCTTATTTGAGATTATACAGGCCACTTCTCGGCATGTTCCTTACACTGGAGAATGATCAATGTTTTGAACCAGGGATAAAGCACAAACAAAAGACCCCTGTCAAGGCCAAGGCCCTGTATAGAAACCACTTAGAATCCAGATTGTGTTTGGAATCAATAGAGGACTTCAAGTTGTGTAAAGGTTATGTACTTATTCAACATTCCACGTCCGCCATGGCCCGCGGGACAAATCCGTCCCGCCGAGTCGTAAGATCCGGCCCGCGACTGTGTTCCAAAATTTTGAGGATCTTGAATTAAAAAAGTATTTTTGTACTTTTTTTTATTATCTTCCTTATTTTCTCTGTCATTCTCCTGTTTTTCATTCTCGTTTTGCTAACAGCTTATTTTTACAAGCTGTTATCAGTTTAAAGAGAACACTTCTAATGATCTTGTGTTAAAACAGTTTTAGTCGATTCATTTCACAGTGTCACTTGTTTCCGTTTCTGTACTTTTAACATCGTCTTATTAATGTACTTGTCTGGTGCACACTGGGGACTTTTGTGGATATATTCCAACGTACTGTAGTTTTACAGCAAATGGCAAAACAATAAATCTGATTTGATTTGCTCTTTGAGGTCCGACCCCTGACATAGAAACAGTGTTACACACACTATAGAGAAACAGTGTTACACACACTGTAGAGAAACAGTGTTACACACACTGTAGAGAAAGTGTTACACACACTATAGAGAAACAGTGTTACACACACTGTAGAGAAACAGTGTTACACACACTGTAGAGAAACAGTGTTACACACACTGTAGAGAAACAGTGTTACACACACTGTAGAGAAACAGTGTTACACACACTAGAGAAACAGTGTTACATACACTGTAGAGCGTGTAGAGGCCGAACAGGGACAGTGTGGGAAGCTGAAGTTTCCTGAATGAATGAATGAATGAAGCTCCCTGATTGTGTTAAATCCGTTTATGGCTCATATCTGGATTTAAAAAAGACAATATCAAAACATAAACACCAGGATCACAGAGAGCTCTCAACCACAGATCAATTAAACCCAAAATGGTGAGTGTGAGACAAACAGTTACTAAGCTAGAGCAGTTTACTTTTCAGTCAATGGGAGCCAGAGCAAAACTTCATCCAGGAGCACTTCTCTATTGGGCTTCATTGAGATAGGCATTGAGCAAAGGGTTGGAATTGTCCATCTACAGACAGTCCAGTGGAACTTGAGATGTTGTTTGGTGTGAAATGATACAATATGAGCTGATTGGTCAAAATAAAGTGAAAAGAAAACAGATTAGAAAAACAATCACGCTTGTTTGATGTTCTCTATAACACACATGAGACACATTGGTGAGAATGCCTTGTTAATAAAGGAAGCAGAGTTTTGCGTTTGTGTCCGTTGCTGGTGGTGTGCAGACTGAACCAGCTCTGTAAATATATCTGCCCAAACCCAAAGCTGAAAACGAATCCATTTTACTTGAGAGAATTGTAAAGTACGTGCCAGGCCTGAGGGAAATACCAAATCAAAAATTTGCAGTAGGTGACAAGAAGAGGAGGCTTTTTCTTCAGGCTTGACTAAAGTGAGGAGAAACATTTTGCATGGACTTATTCTTCAAACAGATTTGAAAAACTCTGAGGTGGATTGATTTCTGTTTTCCTCACGAAACTTGTGGCAGCGAAGAATCCTGCAGTAAACGTAATATTTCAGGTGAAGGACACAGACTGACCGCATGGGGCTGGGTGAGGAAGGCCTGGTGTGGTCTGATCTGGTAACATTTTAGATTATCAGCATTTATGGATATTGACCCCTTTGGACGAATGGCTCTGTGTGTTTTTTATCACTGCATAGATAATTGCTGTTGTGATTTAGGGCCAGTGTTGGGCACGTTACTTTGAAAAAGTAATTAGTTACTTCTCCCAAAAAGTAACTGAATTACTCCACTGTAAATGTAACTAGTGACCAGTAAAAGTAACTAATGCGTGCCTATTTTGTTTCTCTCCCCCATAACCCCCCCCCCCCCCCCCCGGCCCCCACCTTCTCAGAGCGTGTTTCATCCAGATGAACAGAGTGCAAAGACAGGCACATTTATTGCAAATCAGCGTAAACGACAGCGGATGGACATACACTTCTCAAAATAAGCGTGAGCCGTCGACAGGTGCTTCATTAAGTTGGAGTTGCTAACAAAACACGTAGACAAATGTTTCGTTCTGGAACATAATGTGTACCTGGCGTGCACATTTTTACCTTTAACCTCAGTGAGTTTGAAATAGTGCTGATATTTCCATCTGGAAAAGGCTATTCTGCGGCTGGAGTCCTCCTCACTCTTCATCTCTCTCTATATGCTGTAATGCAGAAACACCCACCTACCCGATGTCTCTGATTGGCTGAGAAAACGTAATCTCACTATACATCAGCCAATCATTCGTGAGAGGTTTTATCATCCTCCCTTCTCTCATGACAAGTTTTAAAAAGTTGTGTTTTGGTTGAAATAAATTGAACCATGATGGGAAAGCATCAGTTCAACAGTATAGATGTTGAGTAATGACATGTAGAATAATGAATAATAAGTGATTAAAAAACAAAAATAAGAGCAACTAATTAGCATTTACTTAGCTGTTCATTAGTGAAGGCTAAACTAAAGTGTTACTGACTCTTTCTGTAGAGACAAACACATTGTATTCATAAAACCAAAGAAAAAAACTCCAGCTTCTGCGCCAGTGACGTCAGCCCTCGGTCAGTCCGATCCTAAAATACAATCTGTGTGAACTGAAGCTTCAAACCACAAACAAATAAAAAAGATGATATCTATGTCACGAGACTGTTTGATTGGACAGTGGTGATGATCCAGGACATTCGACATTCAACAACATCCTTTCACATTTATGGACACTGGTCGACTGCCCCCTATGGACCAAAGGCTCTATGTGTTCTTTGAATAATTGCTTTTCCGTATCGCTACTCCATGGAAATCAGACTCTCCAAGCACTGTCTGAAATGTGCCCACTGTGGGACAAACAAAGGATCTCTTTCTTCTGTTGCACAGCGGTTGAAAGGCATGGTTTTATATTTAGCTTTAGAAAAAATAAGCTGCGTCAGTAAAAGGCTTTCTTAGGAATAACAATATTTCAGTTGATGGTTGGAATGATGACGCAAACTAAGGTATGTTGTATTTTCATTTGATTAGACTATTTGTGTATATTTTATTTTAGCCAATACTTGTGTAGACACCACATCCTGTCTTTTGTATTTGTTTTTACAGCGTGGTTTTAAATGTTGTCATGGAATGTGAAGCACTTTGGGGTGCATTCTGTATGAACTGTGCTATAGAAATAAAAATTGATTGATTGAATTGATTCTTGTGTTCATTTAAAAAAAAAAATCCTGTTTTTGAACGGTTTGATTTTGTTACATCCACTACTGCTGTGATTTAGGGCTATACAAATGAAAAAATAAAAAAAGTTCATAGTATAGGAGGTTCCTTGCTCTAAAGCTAGTTTGCTTCTGTCACTGGTTTCATATGGTTTTTTCCCCGTGCTTAGTCACAGCATGGACCCAGCAACTGTGTGCGCAGAAGAGTGTTTCTGTCCTAACCTTGGCAGTGTGTAGCTGATTTCCTATTCCATGCATTTATTGGACTGTTTAACCTCGGGCTTTCAAGACCAGGGAAATTAATACACTTTTATGAATGTTATCATTATTTTCTTCTTTCCTCATTATGTAAAGAGTGATTCAGAAATATGCTGCTCTGATGGCTCCCAGTCTCCCCTTTCCCCTGCGAGCCCACAGTTCTCCGCTCATGTGCTGGGTGATTGTAATGTTTGACCACCTTTTCCCTTTTATTTTCGAAATAATATTTTCGTCAACATTTAAAATAAAAATGTATTTTCTTTTTTGGAGGTATATGTATATTTTTGTTTATCTTGTTTGTGTAACTTTCACATTTTTGAAAGTGTGCGGGAGTCCACAATAGGGCTTCTCCAGGGCACTCCTGGCCAGCTTTACCTGGCAACCCTCGGCTCCTGGTCCTGGCTGTGGACTCTCCAAATGCCATATGGTTCGTTTTCTTAGTACTTTTTATTGCCCTTTTTTTTTTTTGACCTGATGGGAGCTGTGGTTACATATTCGAGCGTGAGGGTGTAGCTCTTTGGGTTTTATTTATTCTTTATTGTCTCTGGTCTCTGGTCAGCAGCAGCTTATCATGTGGATAAGACATGAAAATGTCAGCCGCTGCCTCAGTGCGGGCATAAGTCTTCATATCACAACACAAATGCCACTCCACCACCATCACAGTTCCTCGAAACCAGTGGATGGAAACGCAATTCCAGGAAAGGGGCTTTGAATGTTTTTTGAAGTGCTGTCTGTAAAGTGAATGTTTTAAGACTTTGGTCTGGTAAGGTCAAACATATTTATCTTGTTAAGATAAGACAAGATCAAATAAAACATTTGGCTTCAATCATGGTGTGAAATTAATGAAACAACGACTTTTTCATACATTCAAGGTATTTTCCAGTTTTAGTTTCAGCTCTGCAGGCCCCGGGGAAGAGATTTGAATTGACCTGTACTGACCAGTGTATGTGTAGGACGGTCCTGTACTGACCTGTGTATGTGTAGGACGGTCCTGTACTGACCAGTGTATGTGTAGGACGGTCCTGTACTGACCTGTGTATGTGTAGGACGGTCCTGTACTGACCTGTGTATGTGTAGGACGGTCCTGTACTGACCTGTGTATGTGTAGGACGGTCCTGTACTGACCTGTGTAGGTGTAGGACGGTCCTGTACTGACCTGTGTATGTGTAGGACGGTCCTGTACTGACCTGTGTATGTGTAGGACGGTCCTGTACTGACCTGTGTGTGTGTAGGACGGTCCTGTACTGACCTGTGTATGTGTAGGACGGTCCTGTACTGACCTGGCGGAGGGCTGTGGCAGGGCTGCAGCTCACACTTGTTGCTGCTTCGGGGCCTGAGCTCTTCACTGCACTGAGATGGGTCCAGCTCCTGCTCTGCCTCCTGCTTGGTGTCCACACATTTGACCAGACGATGCTGCAGTCCTCCTCCACAAGACGCGGAACACTGCAAAGACAGTACAGCTCACACACCGCACCGATTCCACACAGAGGACCAGATGGAACAGACAACAGAAGGTCTATCATGCACGAGACCTTCTCCACTGCAGCAGTAAGCAGAACTCCAAAACTGAGATCATCACATGCACTGAAAGTCTGACAAAAGTGGCTCTTGGAAAGACCAATCCGTCCCCGTGTGATGAGTGTCTGTGTGTGTGAGAGCTCATTATGAACGTTTGTTTCATATATGGCTCACTTCACACTAAACTGTACTATCGGTCGATCCAACTTCAAGCGACAATAAAACAAATGTATGAACTAAAAAATTTTGTACCTATACCTTTTTTAATACTATGTATCCTATATACATAGTATAATCTCAGAAGGGCAGCTAAAACTATTTTAAGAAAAATTGATGCCTTTCAAAAAAAAAAATTGATTGAACTTTGAGGACATATTTGTTACATTTAGGACAGGTCGTGTTGGAGGCTTTGTGAATGGAAGAATGAACAGGACAGAGAAGACTATTTAATGGTTAATGATTGGAACTATAACTATAATCAATCTGTAATTATAGATTTTACATAATGCAAAAAATTATTCAATAGCTGCAGACAAACTGGGCGTTATGGACGTAACAATCATGTCCACTTTTGTTACGTCCAAAACGGATGTCTTGGAGCGCTGTTAATAATACATCCATCCATCCATCCATTTTCTTCCCCTTAATCCATTTCTGGGTCGGGGGGGGGGGGGTGGCAGTCAGATCTGCACCCAGTACACTTAGCACCAGCCCCTCACTGATCCTCCTGCAGGTGGTGAGTCCACAGGAGCTGAGATCTTTCAGTGGGAGCTTCAGGCAAAGTGGGGTTAAGTGTCTTGCCCAAGGACACAACGACAGCAGTCATCAGTGGGAGTCGTGAAGTAGGTCTTATGGTGGACTTGAACCAACGACCTTCAGGCCTAAAGGCCAATGCTCTACCAACTGAGCTACTGTCGCCAGTTAATAATACAGACATGAACAAATCTGTGTTAAAGTAGTGCCCCCTTCACTGGACAAACAAGCTGGAAACAAGACTGGGTCTGTGAACATTCAGCAGTAGCGACCGTGGACATTTTTGGGACTTTTTTGTGTCACTGACCAAAATGTAACACATTTGTACAGTTTGGTGTGGAGTGAGCCAGATGTTTCATGTGTACTCATTGAAATTTCTTCACTGCAGGAAGAATAAAGGATCTCTAATCTTATCTTATCATTTGTATGGTAAACGCAATCGTAAGTTCTGTCTGAAAATGTACGGTCATGTATCCATCTACTCTAGTTTTACTGTTACAACAACCTGCTCAGGGACTACAGGTGTGTATTAGCTCTACAGTACTGCTACAATCAGCTACAATGCACTTCTCCTTTTGGCTGACGTTTATTCTACACTGTCCCTGTAAAATAAATACATCATATCTTACAAACAAGTGTAGTCGTAGAACCCTCTTCCTCTGACCCACATGAAGCTACGTCCTAAAAAACCAGTTTGGTTTTATATTGCTATCTAAACTGCAATATTTGGTCGGAGTGTTCTCACTGACCACGTCTGGAGCAGGATGAAAAATACCTCATTCTAATAACTGTGTACAGAGGACCTTAACGTAATTGGTTCATCTATTCCAGAAAAATGGAAGATAGCGATGTTATTACTTGACAAGTTTCTTCAACAGACAACTGAATAAGTATCTCTGAGGAAGATGGAAGTATGTCGTCGAAACATGCCAAGGTAATTAGCATTTCTATCTCACATTTGTCTGGTATAAGAGAAGATCAACTTCATTGATTTCACAATGGAGAAATGTGCAAGACATTATAGGAGAACCAAACAACTAAATCTACTCACGATGAACCTTCATAAATAAACATACAAACTGTCTCTCAAGCAATTTGTGAGATGTATCTCTCCTGAGGCCTATTTGCCAGAATCAAATATAAAGACAGACTATACAAGCAGACTTGGAGATTCCTGTAATGGCTGCTCACTAGATTTCCTAGAGCAGTTGGCTGCAGCCTGAGTCCTGACTAGAACCATTAAGTACGATCACATTAGTCCAGCCCTCAGGTCTTTGCACTGGCTACTGTGGGTGAGACAACACACTATAAGTCTCTCCATGGCCTCGCACCAAAGTACATTAGTGACATGTAATGTCACTAATGTACCGGGCGGCACGGTGGCTGAGTGGATAGCACTCTCGCCTCTCAGCAAGAAGGTCATGGGTTCGAATCTGAGTGGAGTTTGCATGTTCTCCCCGTGTCTGCGTAGGTTTCCTCCGGGTACTCCGGTTTCCCCTACCACTAAAAATATGTCCAATAGTTCTGGCATGCGCTTCCTGTACTGGCGACCCCGCTCCCATCTCTGTGTGGAGTGAGAGACAAATGCCCAAAATTAACAATTGTAAACCGCTTTGAGACTCAGATCTGCAGTGAAAAGGCGGTATATAAATAAAGATTACTTACTTACTACTACTACATGTTAGTGCCATATGAACCAGCTCAGACTCAGAGGAGCACAGGGACGGGACTCCTGCTGGTCCCAGGATGAAAATGTGAGCCAGGCCTCTTCTCTGACAATGTTCAGAACGGTTCCATTTAGCAGCACATCCCACTGACTGTCTCTTCACTTTGTGTTTATTATACTGTGATTATTTTAAGATTTGAATGCCTTGTGTGATTGTTTCTATCTTGTATTTTGCTGGAGTTTGCTTCACCAAAAAAAGTAAAATCTTGGTAAGATTTGTTTACTAAAATTAACGTAAATTATGCTTATTTTTTAATGGCAAGTTTGTTTTGTTTAATGTAGTTTGTAATTTGGGGACTGCAGATGGAAACTAGCCGTTTAGCCATAATCTGGTCCAGAACATACTGTATCTGTCTTTGAGCTTCATGTCTGTACATTGTCCCTTCAAAAAAAGACAAAGCTGTCATGTAAGACTATATTGAACTAGTTTCAAGACACTTCATAATCTTATTAGAGAAAAAAGTCTGAGCTGTGAGTTTTTAAGCTGGTACTGTAAGTATTTTTTCTTATTCTAGACAACCCATCTCGTAAAACTATTTCATGACTCCCACTGATGTCTGCTGTCGTTGTGTCCTTGGGAAAGACACTTAAACCCACTTCAGTGACGAGTTGTGCTCTGTAGCTCTGACTGCCACCCCCCGACCCAGAAATTGATTAAGGGGAAGAAAATGGATGGAATGCATGGATGGAAGTATGTGATGCTATATTTCAAGAAAACATTTGAGTAACCGAAACAAAATAAACAATAAAAAGGTTTTTTTGCAAGCACAGCAGTGTGTGGGAACCATTATTTTTTCATGCACACCGGGACTCCTTGCCCCTCTCCTGTGCACCTGCTCCAGCATTTGATGTGCAAAGTTCTACTTCCTGTCAAGTCATATTTTCATGCTCTATTTAAGCAGTATTTTACTTTTTCATATATTTTGTTCTTATTTTTTCCAGGGATTTTTTCCCAGTGTTGTGCATGAACTATACGATACAAATAGTTGCCTTGCCTTGGTAGTGATTATTTAACTATAGTTCTGTAAATGTCTGATCTAGTGCTACCTTTATAGACTATATAGAGTAAAATTCCATCATATTTAAACTTGGATAATAATCAACAATTAGATTTTAAGTTACAAGTGCTCCAACTCTGCTTCAGTAAGATGGAGGGCCCTCGGACAGCAGCTTTAGCTTTCTCCTCCTTCCACTTCTTGCCTTCAGCTTTGACATAGTAAGATTCTACGGAAAAGGCCAAATCTTTGATGTATAGACTTAATTACTCTTAAAGTGGAGCATGGAGCACAGTGCGCATTAGCTTCACCCATGTGTCTGTGGTCACGTTGCCAACCTTGTGCCTCTGCTGGTCCTGCACGGAGTCTGGATGAGTCTGAAGGATTAGCGCCACAGAGAGGCCACATCAGAAAACACACATTTTCTATCAACGCTTCAATCAACACTGGATCCCCACGGAGACCGACTCGCCTGATTATTGACCGATTCTAAACAGGGAATAGAGTCCAGGGCTGTGTGGAAGTGTGCGTTTTCAGCTTTAGCATTTGAATTTCTATAGTGATAGGAAATACACCGAGTCGTTGTGGTCTCCAATCCAGGAGCACACACTGAAAGCAAGTAAATGTAAATCAGGGATGCACCGAAACTGATACTGGTATTGGGTCAATACCATCGGCTTGTCCCACCAAAACAGTTATGCACGTGACAAGGAATTGAAAGTAAAGGTAAAGGTACACTTTATTTATCCCCGTAGGGAAATTCATCCTCTGCATTTGACACATCCTGATGCCGCGAAGGCTTACGTCTGCAGCGGTCCAGCTTTTGATGCTTGGCTTGGTCAGGACCAGAGCTGAGAGATTTTGTACAACCTATTGTACATGTTTAGAGTGGTAGGCGAAACCGGAGCACCCTGAGCTGACACAGGGAGAACATGCAAACTCTCAGGCAGGCAGGACACTGGTCCCTGATATTTCTCTTGGTCTGCGATAATTGTGCAAATACATTCATGGAGTCTGCTATTCTGACCAACTAAGAAAAGTGTTGGGAATGACCAGGAGTTGATTTGTGATACGACAACAGAAAACCTGATACATTCCAATAATACGTCCCCTGATGATGGCAGCCGTCTGACAAGCAGTCTTAATAACAGCATTCTACAAAATTTCTGTTAAAAATGGCTTCTTTACTATGGAGTTGTTTTGGCACATGTCCTCCAACAGAGATAAAATGGTACATTCTACAATTCTATGTGAACACAACCTAGAATTACCCAAAAACATGCCCAAGTAAAAAAATATTGAGTCCCAAATATGTTACTGTTTAATTATTAGCAGAATTCTGTTGGCAGAGGCCTGATTGCATCTTTCTGGAGACAGGTGGACAGGGCTTACCGATCCCCAGGAGCCGGACAGCCACTGAGCACATGGCTGTTTGTTGCAGGTCTGGAGGTGGTCTGGCCGTGTGTCTGGGTCGCACTGCTCCTCCTCTGGACACGTAACAATCCTCTGCTGCTGCCCCCCTCCACACACTTCCGAGCACTGCAAACACAACCAGTCCATCAAAACACATACTATCCCCATTCATGAACAGAAATATAAGACAAAAGACAGTTCAGGGGTCTCAAACAAGTGGTATTCTGTGGCTCCCGACTGGACCCGACTGGACTAATATATATGCTGATATGGTGTGATTTTAAACATTTTTATCAAAGAAAACGACAAAGGCTACAACCATGCCATTTATAATATACACTCACCTGCCATTTTATTAGGCACACCTTGCTAGTACTGGGTTGGACCGCCTTTTGCCTTCAAAACTGTCTTAATCCCTCGTGGCATTGGACACATTCATTACAGAGTGTGGTCCATATTTGATACATGCAGTTACTGAAGATTTGTCAGCTGCACATCCATGACGCTCCTGTTCCACCACATCGTAAAGTGTCTCTATTGGATTGAGACCTGTGACTGTGGAGGCTAGTACAGTACAGTAACTTATTGTCATGTTCAAGAAACCAGTCTGTGATGATTTGAGCTTTATTACAAGGTGTTTTATCTGCTGGAAGTAGCATCAGAAGATGGAACACTGTGGTCATGAAGGGATGGACATGGTCAGCAACGATGCTCAATTGGTCCTAAGGGACTCAAAGAGTGCCAAGAAAATATCCCCCACACCATGACACCGGTGTGGGCGGCACGGTGGCTGAGTGGATAGCACTCTCGCCTCTCAGCAAGAAGGTCCTGGGTTCAAATCCCGGTCGGACCAGGGCCTTTCTGAGTGGAGTTTGCATGTTCTCCCCGTGTCTGCGTAGGTTTCCTCCGGGTACTCCGGTTTCCCCTACCACTAAAAATATGTACAATAGGTCTGGCATGCGCCTCCTGTTCGGCGACCCCGCTCCCATCTCTGTGTGGAGTGAGAGGACAAGTGCCCAAAAAAAAAAAAAAATAACAATTGTAAACCGCTTTGTGACCCTTGTCTGTGAAAGGCGGTATATAAATAAACATTACTTACTTACTTACTTACCCCCACCACCATGACACCCCCACCACCATGACACCCCCACCACCATGACACCCCCACCACCATGACACCCCCACCACCAGCCTGAACCCTTGACCCAAGGCATGATGGATCCATGCTTTCATGTTGTTGACTCTGACCGTACCATTCGAATGTCACAGCAGAAATTGTGAATAATCAGACCAGGCAACTTTTTCCAATCTTCTATTGTCCAATTTCTGTGAGCTTGTGCAAATTGTAGCCTCCGTTTCCTGTTTTTATCTGACAAGACTGGCACCCGGTGTGGTCTTCTCCTGCTGTAGCCTATCTGCCTCAAGGCCCTGACGTGTTGTGTGTTCACAGAGGCTCTCTTGCGTACCTTGGTTGTAACAAGTGGTTATTTGAGTGACTGTTGCCTTTTTATCAGCTCAAACCAGTCTGGCCCTTCACCTCTGGCATCAACAAGGCATTTTCACCCTCTGAACTGCCGCTCACTGGATATCTTCTCTTTTTCGGACCATTCTCTGTAAACCCTAGAGATGGTTGTGTGTGAAAATCTCAGTAGATCAGAAGTTTCTAAAATACTCAGACCAGCCGCTCTGGCACCAACAACCATGTCATGTTCCTACAGCACCTGGACTCCCCGGGGACCTACGCCAGGGTCCTGTTCGTGGACTTCAGCTCTGCCTTCAACACAATCCTGCCATCCCTGCTCCAGGACAAGCTCTCCCAGCTCAACGTGCCCGATTCCACCTGCAGGTGGATCACTGACTTCCTGACGGACAGGAAGCAGCGAGTGCGTCTGGGGAAGAATGTCTCGGACTCTCGGATTATAAATACAGGAGCCCCACAGGGCTGTGTTCTTTCTCCCCTGCTCTTCTCCCTGTACACCAACCACTGCACCTCCAGCCACGACTCTGTGAAGCTGATCAAGTTCGCGGACGACACCACCCTCATTGGACTCATCTCCAACAACGATGAGTCCGCCTACAGGAGGGAGGTGGACCGGCTGGTGTCCTGGTGCAGTGGTAACAACCTGGAGCTGAACGCCCAGAAGACAGTGGAGATGATTGTGGACTTCAGGAAGAGCACTGTCCCCCCGCCCCCACCCTCTGTGATGGACTCCCCCATCACCTCTGTGGAGTCCTTCCATTTCCTGGGCACCACCATCACCCAGGACCTCAAGTGGGAGCCGACCATCAGCTCCCTCATCAAGAAGGCCCAGCAGAGGATGTACTTCCTGCGGCAGCTCAGGAAAGCCAAGCTGCCTGCACAGATGTTGGTGCAGTTCTACACGGCCATCATCGAGTCCATCCTCACCTCCTCCATCACCGTGTGGTTCGCTGGAGCCACAGTCAGGGACAAACTACAGCGCATTGTGTGCTCTGCAGAGGAAGTGATCGGCCGCAGCCTTCCATTGCTGCAGGACCTGTACGTCGCCCGAGCTCGAGGCCGGGCTGGTCGTATCACAGCCGACCCCTCTCACCCTGCACATGGACTATTCCAACCACTCCCCTCAGGCAGGAGGCTGCGGTCCATCAGGACTAGAACCTCCCGCCACAAGAACAGTTTCTTCCCCTCTGCTGTTGGACTCTTGAACACTTCTTAACCTGTCCCCCCGCCCTTTATAAAGTCACTTTACTGCCCATCATACGTCACTTTACTTCACTGTACTGCTGTCACCTTACATTGTGTGCACCATGTGCACTTGTATATTGTAAATAGTAACTGTAACTCTATTTTAAATTTAAATGTATTCTTGTGTATTTTATTCTTATTTTTATTATCTCTTTTTGACTGTTGCACTGAGCCAAAGCAATTTCCTAGTCTGTGACCTCCTGTTACTTTCGTGGCAATAAAAATGATTGTGATTCTGATTCAAAGTCCCTTAAAGACCTTATGACGGGTTTGATTTATTTAGAAATACAGTTTTAATACCATTTTATATTAGAAGAGAACTACTAAAGGTTTCAAAATCAGTTCAACTTCACAGCCCTTGGTGACGTCAGAACGGGTACGTTTCAACGCTGTAAGTTGTTTACAATTTGGTATTCGTTCTTTTTTCGCGGATATTCAAGATGACAAGGCCGTGTACAGCGAGTCTAAGATAACTACTAGAATGTATCATTTCGTTGTAACTGAGATAGTCCAGTGGTTGTGTCGATGGACTGCCAATCCTGATACTTGGGTTCAAATCCCACCTCGGACACGCAATTTATCTGTAGTGAGCAATTGTCACCTGTAGAGGGCAGTATTGTGTTGGGCATCAGTGGAGAGAAGAGAGAAAAGGCAGTCCTGTGGCATAGATCCATGGTTTTCAATGCATGGGCGTAATCCGCTATGACGTCACACACAGGTTAGAGCATAGACAACTTAAATTAATGAAAAACACGTTCTTTTTATAAAATATAGGATTTTTTTTGCCGGAATCTCTTTCAAATTGACATTGTCATGCAATTTTGATATCCACTATTTTTTTAAAAAAAACCCGTCATAAGGTCTTTAAATCACCTTTCATTCCCCATTCTGATGCTCGGTTTGAACTGCAGCAGATCGTCTTAACCATGTCTTCAGCCTAAATGCATTGAGTTGCTGTCATGTGATTGGCTGAATAGGAATTTGCGTCAAAGTGCAGTTGGAGAGGTGTCCCTAATAAAGTAGTGAGTGTAATTGAATAACAAGATTCTTAATAAGTTTTTCCAATTAGATCCTTATTGGTCATTTAAAATAAAAACCATCAATCATTATAGGTACACACAACAACGTATGGGGCCCGCCCAGTTCCCACCACCGACCATCAGACCATCAGACACCTGATGCAGAACCAATACTGACCACCAGGGCTTTCACACATCAAACACTTGTTTTCATCCCGGGGGTCAGTTTCACTTTGTTGCAGAAATTGCATAGAACCATTGGCAAAGCACTCCCTATGGGTTTTTTGGCTTGGGCTTGTGGGGTGTGAATACTGTTGCGTGTGACAGCTATTTTTTACAATTGTGAAGACTGAGGATCGCAGCTCACCTGTCCCCAGGAGGAGGTGTCCCAGTCGAGGCAGGCGTGCAGGTTACAGGGGCTGTGTGTGGGCGGCCGGGCGGACATGGCTCTGCAGTGGAAGGGTCTCAGGGGCCGCGCGTCCCTCATGTCGAAGCACTGGACCTCACGATGTCTGAGTCCTCCGCCACACCTCCGAGAGCACTGGGAGCAAACACAGAGGTGACGGCACACTACTCATTGCAACACGTCCCACATGTCACAAGAACGTTAGACATAAATCTGTGACATATTTGCATCTTATGAACAAGCTACCACGTATAAAAGTAAACATGTTTTCCTCCCACAGTGGACAAAGCCAGAAGAACAGTAGGGACGTAGAAAACCTGGAAAACTATATACAGTGCCTTGCGAAAGTATCTTGAACCTTTCAACATTTCGCCACATTTCAGGCTTCAAACATAAAGATAAAACATTTTACTTTTTTGTCATGAATCAACAACAAGTGGGACACAATCGTGAAGTGGAACAACATTTATTGGATAATTTAAACTTTTTTAACAAATAAAAAACTGAAAAGTGGGGCGTGCAATATTATTCGGTCCCTTTACTTTCAGTGCAGCAAACTCACTCCAGAAGTTCAGTGAGGATCATCTCAAGGAGCACTGTGCAAGCAGTTATATTGAAATGGAAGGAGTATCAGACCACTGCAAATCTATCAAGACCCGGCCGTCCCTCCAAACTTTCATCTCAAACAAGGAGAAGACTGATCAGAGATGCAGCAAAGAGGCCCATGATCACTCTGGATGAACTGCAGATAACTACAGCTGAGGTGGGAGAGTCTGTCCATATTGCACGCCCCACTTTTCAGTTTTTTATTTGTTAAAAAAGTTTAAATTATCCAATACATTTTGTTCAACTTCACGATTGTGTCCCACTTGTTGTTGATTCTTGACAAAAAAACTTATTTTTATATCTTTATGTTTGAAGCCTGAAATGTGGCGAAATGTTGAAATGTTCAAGGGGGCCGAATACTTTCGCAAGGCACTGTAAATATCTGCAAGAGTATGAGAAAATTAAAGAGCCGATTGTCATGGTTACCTTAGTCCAGGGGCCAAGGTTCCAGGTGGAGCAAGGCCGTAAGTAGCACCTCTGAGCAGGGACAGGTCTCTTCTCTGGGTCGCAGTCCGAGTGTAAGCCTGTGCTGCAGCTGAGGGACCTCCACACAGCCCCCAGGCCACAACTGGTGGAGCACTGACACATACAATACACACAAACTGTATTCAACGTTCAATTGATGTAAAAATATTGAACAAAAATATTGAACTATTGTGAGGTTAGGTCTTCTCTTGGTTTATGGGACATGGACCAAGATGACCATATATGGCCAAAATGTTAGTTTGGAGAACTTGTCTTGAATGGACCCCAATCTTGGAGACCTGGGAATTTTTGTTCTTAGCGTTTTGCCAGCGGATTGATGTGGGGGGAGTAAAAAACCATTCAAAGTCTGTTTTTGAAATAGAATTGTGAAACCTGGGGTACATTTTAAGACAAATTAGAATCAGGCAAGTGGCACCAATTTCTGTTCTAAATTGTGCCCTAAATGTAGCATCAAATCAAGATAATGTGTCAACTATAACAGACTGAAAGTATGTGAAGTATGCTCACCTCGCTCCAGTTGCCAGTAATCCAGTAGGAATTGGCTTGTGGCACCATGGACGGAGAAGACGGCAAAACGGAAGCAGCAGGCGGTGCATATTCTCCCTGCTCTGTGAAAAACGTAGCTGCTGTCGTTGTGGGATACGTCTGCGAAACGTCCGGGTACGCCTTTTGGGTTGTCATTGAAGCATAGGGAATTTCGCTATATTCATAATCTGCAAAAATGTCTGAAAATGTCACAGAGCGTCCAGTTGAGATGGAGTCTCCAAGAGGTAGTTCTTTTCCAGTTAAAGACGTTTGAGAAGAGATGATTGTGTCATGAGGCGTGGTTGCTAAGTCATCCAAAAACAATTCACCTGGCAGTAGAGAACTCTTTATGTTAATTTCAGATTCTAGAGTTGGAGGAAGGCCGAGGTCAGTCTCTGTTCTTTGCGTAGTAATGTGAGCTGTTGTCAGCGTAGGCATCATTTCAGGTCGAGAGATCCTGAGATGACTTGAAAGAGTGGGGGTGTCTTTGTAGTTGTCCTCGGCCTCCAGACTGTATTCGTCGGTAACTTGCAGATCCTCCTTCATTGTGTCTACCTCTACACCTTCTTGTGGATTGCTTGGTGTGGTCAATGGTGGAGAGTGGGTGGTTGAAACAGGAAGGAGAAAATCTTCAGCGAGAAAATTGTCTGTGTTCTCTGCCTTTCTATCAGCTGGAGCTTTTGTCGAGGACAGGTCATTGGCTTCAGGTTTCCCCATGTATTGGTGTTCATCATTATATGAAGTGACCTTCGTCGGCCTTTGGAAGGATGGAGCTTTGGATGTAGAAGAATTCTCCAACCCCTTGAGGCTCGGAGGTTTTGTAGTCATTGCTTTGCTCCCTGAGTTTTTTTCGTCATCAGATAAGTCTTCGTGAAAGTCTATGAAGTTGTAATCATAGTAAAAATCATCCACTTGTACAGGTTTTTCCTGAGTGATATCTGCGCTTTCTACATTATTGTGGTAGTGGAAATCAATGTCATTGGTGTCTTGGTGGGTTCGGGGCTGGGCTTTGGTGGTGGTAGCAAACTTGGCAGGTGGCTTAGCTTCTGGAATGATTTCGTTGAGCACGTCTTTTTCCGTCCAGCCGCTTCCCGACCAGTCGAAGTTGTCCTGAGGTAGAAGGGGAACAGGGCAGTCCTGCAGGTGACAGGAGCCGAGTGCAGGAGGTCTCTTCTGGAGGTCACAATCAGCGGCCGTGTTTCGGGAGCAGCTTACGTTTCTCCAGCGAGTGCCACTGCCACAGCTCACAGAACACTGGGAAGACAACATGCTTTTGTTAACTTTGATATTTTAGATCAGCTTGACATGAATCGCCCATCGGGATCATTGGTGAAATCCAGTCTGTTATTAGTTAAAATGATCTCTATTGTGAATTAAACATGGTCCGACTGTGTACGGAGGCAAACATATTTGTGCAGACTATTATGGTTCCTTAAATATTACTAATTGTAAACATGAAGAAGAAAGTCCAAAATATATGGCTAAACTGATAAAAATGGTGGAGGTGGGAGGGGCCGATGGCACATGGTTGGCTCCCTTCTGTCAGTGTGCTCCAGGGCATCTGTGGCTACAGTAGTAGTTTGAGTGTCAAGAAAAGCCCTGTATAAAACGGATGCATTATGACAGGACAGAGGGATTAGTCAATCCCACATAATATGGCTGTATTATAACATCATAGAAAACATGAGTCCTCACCTGCCCCCACGTCACTGTCTTAGCCCCCAGTCTTCTGGGTCACTGTATCCACGCACATTCCCTCACAAACCCATCCCCTTCTCAGCGCTCACTAACCTGGGACCAGTCTCCGGAGCTCCAGACGGAGGGACAGGGCACATGTGTGCTACAGGGGGAGACAGACTTAGGTTTGGGCATGTGCTCACAGTCTGTGGGCTGGAGAGCCTTCTGTCCCTCTGCTCCCAATGACTGGACACACAGCACGGCCCTGATGGAGGCTCCCAGGGGCCCACAGCTGGATGAGCACCTCTGCCACTCCCCCACCCACCACCTGCAAACACATGTCTCAGTCATGCACTCAACAGTGATTCCACCAGTGATATGTAAAGCAGAGACTGAAAGCTGAGAAGCTGAAACTGAGAAAAAAAATACAGGATTTCCTTTAAGGTTAAAGATTGATCTATTGTGTACAGTATGTATTTATACAAACTAAATGCATTGAAGCCAAAATGTCTGAACGATTCTGTTGAATCAACAGATAGGGTTGGGCCAAAGCGATTGCATCTAGGACTAGAGAATATCAATACCTCTAACTCTAACAGCCCCAGTTGGGCAGAGAGATTCATTAGAATCTTTATGATAAACTTTATGATCACAATTTGCAAAGTTAATAGCAAATGAGTTCAAAACATCAGAGTGCCTTGGGTCGCTACTGTTCACAGCTGTTAGGTACTGTTAGGGTGGCCACACCGCCGTCCTCCAAAGTGTTTTATCTCTGGCCGATGGGCACGTCTCTGTTCTGCCCCTGCCTTCTGCTGCTCTGGATCCTGACCTGCACTGTCCCTGTTTGTTGGACGTTATTCTACACCTTTGAGTCTGTCCTCTCAGCCGCTGCCGCACACTCAGCCGCTGCCGCACACTCAGCCCCGCCCTCATGGATGTTCTGCATTATTGTTTTTTTTGTTTTGTACTTGCAGGCACCCATATTCTGCGTCCATGAGAGGACCTACTGTATGTGGCGACCCACATGATATGTTGGTGTACATACTGTACACACGTTTACACACGTTTACACACACACACAGTTTTGTTGATGACATGTGTGGGTGCATAAAGGTTGTGGGGCTCTGCCTGTGGATTAACATGATGAAAGGTGAAGGTAAAGGTGCACTTGTGTTAACCCCCTTCACGTTTTATACATTTTGTTATGTTAAAGCCTCATTCCAAAATTAATTAAAATCTAATTCTCAATGTCAGAGACCCGATTGCACACTAGTGCTTTGCTAAGCTATCCTTGAACTTGCATTTTGTTCTTCCTATAAAAGCTTCCTATAAAATCTGCTACAAAAAGTGTAGTGTAGTGTGTTTGAATATTTGAACTGTTTTTGAGTGAAAACAGAAATGAGAACACTGCATTTCTGGACCTAGGTGAAGAAATGAAGCAGCAGAGGAGCTGGACTCACGTGGCTGCACAGGGGTCCTTGTCACAGTGGCTCTGGTTGTTTTGGGGCCGGGTCTCAGGGTCACAGAGCTGCTCGTCCACAATCCCCCGGCTCCTCTCCACACAGTGCAGCGCCTGCCTCTGCACTCCTGTAGCACAAACACCAGTCCAAACAGATCAGCATGTTCTACAAGTGCTGCAGATATATATATATTTATATAGATATATATGTCTGCCTTTGATGGAGCATATTTATTTTACATGTGTTCTTTTGAATGTCCTAAGTTACTCTAAAACAGTTGCTGTTTTGAACTTTTGAATTTTTATTTTTATTGGTTTTTTCTACCTGAGATGTTGCTGCAGTACAGTGTTCATGGTTTTACACGGGTCCAGACCAGAGCAGAGAGGATTCATGGTCTGAACCAAGCGGATCAAGCAGAAATCCACTGGAGGAATGCTAACTTTTTGAAAAATACTAATGAAGCATTCAGCACTGTGACCCGTCCTGCTCCACCCAGAGGCTACTCCACCTCCACTGCTGCGACCTGAAGGGCTTTTGCTTATTATTTCTATTCTTAGAAGGGTTAGGGTTAGGGATGCTGCTACTGTACACCTGAATTTCTCCTACGGGGGAATCAAATTATCTGTCTATCTATAGACAATAGTTATCTATGGTTATCTTGTATAGATAGATGGACAACCATTGTTTTCAATGGTAGGGGAAACTGGAGCACCAGGAGGAAACCTACACAGACATGGGGAGAACATGTAAACAACACTAAAAAAAAGGCCAACAGAATGTCAACCACTCAGCCATTGTGCTGCCCAGCCCAGCCAATTAAACGTGTTTTCTATTTTTGACTGTAACGAAACCAAAGAAAAACAAATAAAACTTGTGCAGAGGGACTGTTTGCTTCCTCACAATGACAAACATCATCTGTGCTCCCAAATGTATCTGCTGGTCATGTCTCAGTAGCATCAAACATAGTTACATTATGTGTTACATGCAGCAGAAACACAGTAGAAATGGTTTTACTCGTTAAGCTAAAGGGACTGTTTTTTCACACCTCAGTCCGGGTTTACTGTACATGCATCTGGATCTATAAAATCACATAGAAGTAGGAGCGTTATCTGGTTTTTGATTAGTTCCATATAAACATACTAAGAGGGGCCATGTTCTACCCAGATTACACATCAGTGCCTTTAGTTGAAGAGCAGAGTTGATTTGTGATGCTAACCAGAGCCACAGGTGACGCTGCAGTCGCTCCAGGAGCCGTGTTTCCAGTAGAAGGCCCCGGGGCCCAGCTCTGTGTGTGCGGACACGTTCTGGTTTATGGTGAACTCATAACGCACTCCAGGATTGGACTCCTGGAACAGCAGCTGCACACACAACAGATTCACTAAATATTCATATTTCATACTCCGATAGGAGCAAAGAGGATATGACAGTCAAGTAAGTAAGTAAGTAATGTTTATTTATATAACGCACACAGACAAACGGTTACTGTCCGTTATGGAGTGTTCACACCGGATCAGAGTTCACATGTAAAGTAAACGGTGATATAAATATTCACATGTGCGTCGCGGCACGTTTGTCTGGTGCGACAGTTTCCCTGTGCAGTGCACACCTGTATCCAGAGCGACTCGGTGGTGGGCCCCGGGGACGTGAGGCTCTCCTTCTGCCCACTCCTCTGGTACGAGAACACGGCCCCTGCAGCCTTGTACTCCCCGTTCCACTGGATGGTCCAGCCGCCGTTCAGGAAGTACTTGTTTAGAGAGTCGCTGCGCAGGGCTAAGAAGTTGGCCGCCTCTGCCACCTCCTCGATGCGGATGTCCCAGGAGCCCTCTGGGATCAGGCCCATGTCCACGTACCCTGGACAAGACAAACAGGAAATAGTTTGTTTTCATGTCCTTAGTACTGCACATGTGCCTGTGAAGTTAATAATAATGGATCGGGTTTATATGGTGCTTTTTCAGACACTGAAAGACGCTTCACTGACAGAAGGGAGGAAACCCCCTGTGCATGACACTATCAAACTATAAACTGAGTACCAGGAGGAACTTTGCAGACACAAAGACCTCAACATAGAAAGACCAGCTTGGGAGTTGCACCCAGGGGGGCACTCTTTACACAGTGTGGATAAAGCTACTAATTTTAGCTTGGTTTGATGAGAACAATGGCTTGGCTGGAAACGTGTTATAACGTGGTCATAAGTATCTTTTCTATATTACCCTGAGTATAAATGAGGTATACGCACCGAGTCCCTGGCTCTGGTCAAACGTCCTGTGCACGGTGGCGCAGGTGGATCCATTGCCGTTGCACACGCCGCAGCGGTCCTCCACGGCGCTGGAGTCGATGACCAGGTCACAGCCGATGCTCTGAGCACAGATGCAGCATATGTCATAAGGCCAACACATGACACTAGAGTTTTACAGACTTTAAACACACAGCTTTTCCTTTGTGGATTTTGCGTTATTGCGGGTATAATAAACCAGGAACTACTTTATCCACTGGGAAACCCATGCCGATATCGATTCCACAGTAAAATTGCTTCTTTTTAGCTTGTTTTATTTATGTACTTGTCTGGTGCACACTTGGGACTTTTGGCACATTGAATTAATCTGAATCTAATCATACCTTTGCGTACCCCATACAGTACAGGTTGTGTGGTGCGTTTGGAGTAATGAAGCTGAAGCGCAAATTCAGACTGAAAGACCGGCCACAGCTCTCACCCGTCCAGGGCCTGCCAATCACACAGCGCTGCCAGCCTCGAGCTTCCGACAATCACTCAGCCCGGTCAGCCTCTTGCCAACCCACTGACAGCAAAGCGGGCAGTTAAAAGCAGCCACTTCCTGATAAACAGCGCTTCCTGAGGCTCTTAACACCCACCGCCTCCCCAGCACCTCCTCATGGTTCCTGGTCAGGTTCCTGCTCTGGCTCCTGCTCTGGCTCCTGCTCTGGCTCCTGCTCTGGCTCCTGCTCTGCCTACGCCCCATTCACACCATACTTCTATCCACCACCAGTGCTTGACTGCGGGGGATCTGAGATAATCTTCAGCAGCAAATGATCTCCCCTCTGCAAGTGTCACCGCCGGGGTCAATGCACCAAACAAATACATATTTTTTCATGCATTAATGTTGCTGTCTTGGTCTCTTCAGATTGAAACAGTCCTGACTATTCTACCAAACTCATTTTTTAAGCAAAACTGAAATAAGCCTTGTCAGTTTGGGAGATATCTTTTGTAATTGAGTAAAAATGTCAACAAAGGTCATGGAGCTTGTGTCCAGAGCTCAGAGGAGTGACATTTGGCTCAGGCCGCTGTTATCTCAGAGATAGTCCGACGCCCATCCCTATCGCACACTTTACTCACAATAGGTCAAATGGAGCCGAGAACAGACTAGAACCACAAGCAGATACGTTGCAGGCACATCTGGGTCACCGTGTTATGTCACATCGCTGCTGAAAGTAGGTTAGAATACCAAAACAGGCCTTCTTTAATGTTAGAGAAGAAATATGATGCATTATTTTTGGCCACTATAAAAAATACTTATTACTTAAATACGTATTCCATGTCACTTTCAATTTTTCATTTCATTTTGACATGAAGCCATCTAGATTGGGGTAGGGGTTTAAATATTACTTGGTCTTCATCCGACTCCTGTTCTTTATGTGACTGTATTGTTATATAAGAACGAATAAATGAATAAATTAATGAATTCATATCCTAAGTAGAACATATATGGTCCCTGCACTGGCTTCCTGTGGCTCAGAGAGACGTTAAAGCAGCTCTGTTCGTTACAAGTCTCTCCATGGCCTCGCTCCAAAGTACATCTGTGACATGTTAGCGCCATATGAACCAACTCGGAGGCTGAGGAGCACAGGGACTGGACTCCTGCTGGTCCCAGAGTAAAGACTAAACATGGGGCGGCAGCAGAGTTTCAGATTCATGCTGCTAAAAATATTATCCCTGAAATGAAATGTGTTGTTCATTTGTTCAGCACTTTGAGTTGTCTTGTGTATGAACTGTGTTATACAAATATTATTGCCTTGTCTGAAAAATAAAAATTATGCATTATTTTTGGCCACTAAAACATTGCTTACTTTGACATTTCATTTGAATAAATAAACGGTGAAACAAGTATCAAGCGTACAGAATAATATTGGCATATCCTATCCCTGTGCTACCACTAGGTGAAGCTGTAGAATTATTCTTTAAATTCATTTTTAATTCTCAAACACAGCCATGTGACTGTAATGAACATGAGAAAAAAAATAATAATGTATGGGTAATAGGTTTGTATTAAAATGCAGAAAACGGTTTGAATGTGATGTCCTAGCGGTACATTGACATCGTTCTATTTGAAGACAGGAGCTTTTAGACAAGAGGGGCGGAGCTACAAGTTTGTGACTGGAGTTCTTGATATTAGTGTGGATTCATGTTCATATGTGTTCAGTTCTATTCATGGATATGGATCACCATCAAAATCTAATCATTTGTTTCTTCAGTTGAGGGTCTGAGCCACCACTAGACCTTCTCCACCAACTCCCACTGATGTCTGCTGTTGTTGTGTCCTTGAGAAACACTTAACCCCACTTTGCCTGAAGCCCCCGCTACAAGATCAAGGCTGTACTTTTCCCCCTGTGGACTCACCACCTGCAGGAGGATCAGTGAGGGGTTGGTGCTCTGTGTACTGGGTGCAGCTCTGACTGCCACCCCCCGACCCAGAAATGGATTAAGGGGAAGAAAATGGATGGATGGAAGTTTGAATCAGTGTGAATGTTGTAGTGTATCCACAAATGTGTTTTAATTAGTGTTAGCTGAATGCGGAAGAAGCTGATTTGAGCATAAGCTAGCTGGAGCCAATTTCCATATATAGGCATTCGTTCAAATAGCGCTAGCTTCACACCGTAATAGGGACAGATGTGTTGCTAAGATGGTTGCTATGGAAAGCTGGAATTTGTCGTACAAATTTAGTGAGTGTGACTTGAACGAATACTGAGCAAGAGGAGATTACTTTTCAATGCAAGTCAAAAGGACGAGATGGAGCCAAACTTGGTTCATATTTCATTCATTCATTCATTTTCTAGCCCTTTATAAAGTCCATTTCGCTGTGAGTCAGTGTGCTGATCAAATTTGCTCATTATTCCCTGACGTTTATGTAAATCGCGCCTTCATGGAGGTGTGGTTGAAAACTCCAAGACATACTAAAGATGGACGTAAAGTGAGTTAAAGGAAATGAGTGGTTAGTGAACAGTGCCCTCTCAGTAGGAAACACAGGTGGAGTATGCTACCTTACAGATGCCATTGACGCACATATCTCGGCTTTTGCTACCTCCTTCGTAGCACGGGGTTTCCATCAGCCGCAGCGTCCCTCATCTTTTCAGAGAAGTGCTGGTGGAGTGGCCGACAGTGCAGCTCACATGGGCTGACTGCAGAGACAACACACACACACACACACAGACACACAAACAAAAGAGAAGGAAAAGAAAATAATTCACAGTTAATTCATGTCTACATTCTGCTTATTGTTTATTCAATCGGGAAAGACTCCAACAGAATACACAAGAGCTTTATTGCGGTTCGTACACACCTCAGGCACCTCACAAAACAAATTCCAGACACACGGCCTGTCCTCCTTCTAATGTTTAAATACATGTGCTGTGGGCCAGTGGGGCTGGTCTTGTGCCTAGAACCTCTGGCATAAACCTTTGTCTCGTGTGTTTTGACCGAGAGCACTGTCACTGCAAGGGCAAAATCATGCTGCTTGAAGAACAGCTTCCTGACGATGTGAAGGTTGATGTAGGCAAAGCTTTAGTGCTGCCAGGTGAGGATCCGCAGTGTGGTGCTTCTAGCTGAGTGTGATTGACTGATTTCTGTCGTCGTGCAGTAAGAGCAGGAGGACTTCAGTGCAGTGAGCGTAGTTCTTCTGTCCATCAGACTGAACCTCCGCTGTAGCTGCATTGGCCGACCAGAGAGTCAGAGAGTCACAATATTTCGACCAATGTGACCATTTTCACAGATATTTGGAAAAAAATCGATTTCAAAAGGAATAGAATTTAAAATAATCACAAGAGTTGACTAGAATGTGTCAACACCCCATAAAGTAGCAGAAAAGGGACATTTTGCTGAATTAATTTGAAATCCATCATGGTGGCGTGTAATTACAGGCAATATGTTTGGTTTAATAAATTACTGTTTATTGCATTATATTCTGAGGATTTATCATAGCGTAGCCAGTTTAATAAAAAAGCACTTGGGGCGATGGGGGTGGGGGGGTGTGTTTGTGCAAGGAAATCCATGTCTGTTTTTAATGAGGGAGTAGCTTGAGGGCTTACCTCGGTTGTAGACTGCCACCCAGCTGTGGAGCTGTCCTTTGTAAGGCAGGCTGTTGAAGTGGCTGCACTGAAGGTCTCTGAAGCTGGGCTGCTCCTGAGCGCACACCCCCGGGTTACACACACGATACCTGCTGCGCTCACCCAGACAGTACCTCCCCCTGTGCCGAGGCCTGGGCAGAAGGAGACCAGCAGACAGGTCAGAACGTCCTGATCCACTGCAACTCTGCCTGCCATTAACCATGTAAGTAAGTAAGTCATCTTTATTTATATACCGCCTTTCGCAGACCAGAGTCACAAAGCGGTTTACAATTGTGGGTATTGTAATAAAACACATGTAACTAGCTCTTAGCTCAGCTCTGTTTGCTTCTATCACAAGTTTTCACACGCATGCTTTTCAGAGAAAAAGAGAGTACCAGCTCCACTCAACCAATCAGCTCTCATTAGAATTATTTCTATCTTTACACACTGAGATAAAGACAGCATGTTGTGGCCTGAGTTGTTCACAAACTATCTTTTACGCAGAACATGTAAAGTTGACAATGATCACGGTGCAGGATGAAGACAGCAGACCAGCACTCCACCCCAAAAAGCCACAGAGAAGCAGACTACTGTTAATGCTACCCCCGAGCACGCACCAGGAGCGAGCGGTGTCCGGTCGGTCCTCGTCATGGCACTGGCACTGAACTAAAACAAAGTGTTGATGTAACCGATGTAAACACATACAGTAATAATAATGCATAAAGATACTAATGTACGGGGCGCTTGTTTGGAGACGCTTTACATTTCATTATCCATCTACAAAAACCTGCCCTGTGTACTCAGTACAAGGTCAGGTATACGTCATCCAAACCTACAGTATTACTGTGGAGACAGTTCTGTCAATGTACTGCTGCCAACTCTTCCAGCTATTGACAAAAGACTGGAAGAACATCAAGATTCCACTTGTTGAAAACATATTATTCCAAGGCCAGCACATGAAGCGCAGGCTTTTAAGGCTTAGAAGGTTTAAAAGGAAGACTGAACATTTAACAATCAACCGGCTCTTGCATTGTTGTATGTGGAAACTTTTTCTATAGGGTCGCTGAGAGATCTTAGATCTCTTTAGTGCAAAGGATTTTTTTTCTTACATACAAGATAGAGTTCTTCCCTTTTTCATATTAACTACATTTTTCTGTCTGTATAGTATTGAAGGCTTCTGCTGGATACGCTGATCTCGTCACGCAGAGAAATGGCTGGTTTACCATCACAAAAGGACATTTGACATTTATGGACCATGGTTACCCATGGTTAAGGGCGACAGTAGCTCAGTTGGTAGAGCATTGGCCTTTAGGCCTGAAGGTTCTCCACCGACTCCCACTGATGTCTGCTGTCGTTGTGTCCTTGGGCAAGACACTTAACCCGACTTTGCCCAAAGCCCCTGCTGAGAGATCATGGCTATGCTCACATTGACAGAGCAGCCATCCTCCTGTGGACTCACCACCTGCAGAGGGTCAGTGAGGGGCTGGTGCTATGAGACTTGGGTGGCATCTCTGACTGCCACCCCCCTGACCCAGAAATGGATTAAGGGTAGAAAATGAATGGATGGATGGATGGACCATGGTTAAATTCAGTTGTTTAGGAATTGACAACTTAGACTTTGCACAATGTACACCTCCTGAGCCCGGTGTAAAGTACAGTTAAAGTTAAAGATTAGCCTCTTGTGTTTTTGTATAATTACATCTATAAACGTAATTATACAAAAATTCTAATGACATTCAATGTTCTTGTTTACAGCGGTCATTGCCGGCAGGTCAGTAATCAAGACCCTTTCCAAAATCAAGCCAAGATCCTCAGCTGTTTATGGCGTCAGGGCAAGCTAATAATAGATATATTTTTAAGAAGAAAATAAAACGACAATACTTGAATGAGTTTGTGTGAGCTCTCAGTCGTGCAGAGATGAGTCAAAACATAGATGGGTGACAAACATTTCTTTGTTTTCATGCTTGAATAAATGTTGCAGGATGATGTGAAAGGCTTATTCAGTTTTGGGTTACTTTGTGTTGTAATCGCTCTTTATGATGTACTTTTTAAAATGTTTTTTTGTGAATTGATCCTATGTGGAGTGGACCAAAGGAAGACTAGCGACTCCTTGAGGAAGCTAAAATAGATACGATGAATTAATGAATAAAGTCCTCCAGGATTACTGCTGTTCTGAGTTATGGCTATAAAAAAATGCATGATATTTGTGTCTTCACAGGAACAGTGTGTGTCCGGGACCGTCTCTCCTCTCGCTTCTGCCAGACTCTGCGCTGGTTAGGACGCTGCTCTCTGGCCAACGTGAGATCCCAGTGCTGTCGGACCTGCAACCAGCGCCTACGCACTCTTCTGCCAGGGCCCAAGACCACAGCAGGAGCTCAGGACACCGCCGGAACCCCAGGCCCCAAGACCACGGCAGGAGCTCAGGGCACCGCCGGAACCCCAGGCCCCAAGACCACGGCAGGAGCTCAGGGCACCGCCGGACCCCCAGGCCCCAAGACCACGGCAGGAGCTCAGGGCACCGCCGGAACCCCAAGCCCCCAATGGACAGCAGCATTGCCCGGTACGAAAGCCCCAAAGCTGGGAGCACTCAGGTGAACACTCCCCTCCCAGCCGTGGAACTCCTCTGCCCGAAGCAAAGAAAAGCAGGTGCTCTTGATGAAGCTGAAAGTGCAAGAAGAAAGTAGTTCCGACTTTCAATATTAACACTAGAATTCCCAGTGCAGTCCATTTTTGATTTTGATTTTATTTTGGGAAGCGTAAATATTCTGCTTGTCTACATTTTTGGTCTTCATAACTTCATAACAAACAAGTGTGAAATGATAAAAGTTTCTAGTGAGTAACAGGAACAAGGAACAAAGGGTTACCCAGGATGCCCTGCATGAGAGCCCTCGTCCTTCTCTCCAGCACAGCCCCCACAGAGTATCTTTATGTCACACATGCTCTACAAAAAAAAATAACACAGAAGAACACAATTCCCAAAAGTCAAACACCTGTACCAGAGTTCAACAGTTTTATGGCAGAGGGCACAAAAGCATTGGAAAAACGGTTTGTTTTCCGTGCTGGAGCATAAAAACGACGCCCTGAAGGCAGTTAAAGTCCCCTTTTCAAGTTGCTGGTCCTGGACTCCCAGAGATGTGACCATAGTAACCATAGCAACACATTGTTTACTTGCAGAAGTTGGCATTCGATAGCCTATGCTCTATTTCCATTATATTCACCAGTTTTCGCACATGCAAAAGTGAGTAACGGCAATTCCTTTGTAAATGACTTACTTTAAATAAAACTGGTGGTAAACTTTTTCTGTGTTGAAAGAAGTCAAAATGACAACTCTGGGAATTCTGGGAGTTAGGGACATTGCTCCACATCTAGCTTCGTGTATTAGCCAAAACCCTGAACACATTTAACAACAGTACTGTAGCTACAATGGGGAAATGGACAACTTCAGTTCGGAAGAGTTTGAAATGCGTGAGTCCGGTCATCAGGAAGTGTATGTAGCGTGTACAGAAGTATTGGTGCTATTTGAACTCATGGGATCAGGGACCAGAATTTATAACTTTGTTGATTTCATTTTGTCTTGTATTATTGTCAGCCCGACTGTGGTGAGATGTGTTGCCTTTGATCACATCAGCGACCTCAGAAGCATTCAGGAAAAGAACATTAAAGGAGACGTCACATGCATGTTTTGACCGTTCTCTCGTCGATTTAAAACTGTTTTAGTATTATTCATATCAGCATAAGGACGGGCCGAGCCGCCGTTGCTCCCCACTCAGTCCTCGGAGCGTACCACCTCGCCCCTCCCCCCAGGTATTCACTTACTTTTCTGAAGCGGCGGAGTTTTCAGCAGGTGTGCGACTCTTTTATGACATTGTTTTATATCAATATTGATTATTCACATGAAGTATCTATTTAACAATGAGCCAGGGGGATAGATGCTCAGATGCAGATGACGCGATGACGTAATCCCCTTTAACATAACTGTGGTACACGGAGATCAGGGACTAAACGCATTTCCTGTGATTTGAACTGCATCTGATTGCTCGGACTTCCAGTGTTTTGGAAGTGCAGTTACTCCGTACATGTATATTTGTGGTCTTCATAACTCTGTTCTGTTTCTATTTGTCGTTTATTTCTTTGTCATTATTTTCACGTAATTATCTTTAATATTTTAAATGCGAGTTCTACTATTAACTCGCAATGGAGCAGTCAAAATGGTCCAATTTTGACTGCTCCATTCATTTCCATGTAAATTGGCAGCAAACATTCCATGGCAGTTAAAGGTGCTGGTCCTGGACTGGTTCTGGACATAATGCGCCCGAGGGAGTGAGGGATTTAGCATTTAGCCTAGCTTCAGCGTTTGACAGCAATGACATTTGCTAAATATTCCTCCAGCTTCAATTCCTTGATTTGCAGCTTATTTAGCATTTTTCTAAAAGTTAGCATTCCTCCAGTGGATTTTCGGACCATGAATCCTCTGTGCTCTGGTCTGGACCAGTTTAAAACAATGAACACTGTACTGCAGCAACATCTCAGGTAGGAAAAAGCTAGAAAATAAAAAAATTGTAAAGCGCAAAAACAACAATTGTTTTAGAGCAACTCCACCGTTTCCAGCCCATTCAAAAGTGATCAACACCAAACATGTGCCTTAGGTTAGTATTGCACATTTCCCTACATTTATAGTGCTTTTATTCCCTTTATCCATGTATTTCTGTGATTGTTTTTAGTCGTCCTCGGTCTCTTGTAAAGTTTCGAGGCTCCACCTTTAGTCTCTTTCTGAGAAAACGTAAAACCAGTGCCTGAAAGGTTCACTCAAGTTACTCAATAATGCTACAAAACATAGTAATGGTCTAGTCGTGCCAGTAAAAATATAGTTTGGAGAATATTGTATTTTAAGAGAGAGGCTTTTTGATTCTTACACAAAAGTGCAAGAAGGGAATGATGTGACTGGCTCAGAAAGAGGCACACAATAGGAATTAGATTTGACACTGCTAAAAGCTGACTTCAGAAGAGAAACTTTAGCCCCGTTTCCACCAGCTCTACCTGGTTGTGTTTCCATAACATTTAGATAACTGGTACTGTATCCTAGCAACCTACCAAACCAGATGGTAACACTTTAGATTAGACTGGTGCAAGAATAATTGTTTGATTCAACGTTCAGCAGCTGGATAGGCCTCTTCTCCAACACGCCCGATCTGGAGGAACTTATACTGGTCAGGTACTCATCAGGTCATTGGAAATAAACTGGTGCAGAACGGACTTTAAAGGTTCCTCAACACGAGAGGGGAGGGGCTATGATTTTCTCAGGTTCATCTCAATGTTACTTTGCCCTGAAGGATTCACAAAATGATAATAAGTAAATCTTCTACATCTACACAAAGAAAAGGGACTTCACCAGACTGACTTACAGGTCATATCTGCGGAGATAAGATCAAAGGGTTTTTCAGCCGTAAAACATCTGCAATCTTTCTAGTTTTATATTGTACTGAGCACTTTTAACAACGACATTCAGAAGGAAGTTATTCTAAATCACGTCTCAATAAATAGGTCTGAGATCTGGGAGCTTTGATCTCTGCATCTGTCTGCATTTTGAAGATCTAAAGTACTTTGAAGGATCAAGTTTTAATTTCAAGTCAATGTATCTGTGTTTTCCCAAAAACGCAGTTGCCTCAAAGGCTGTCACAGAATTGTCAATTTGCCAACAACAGATTAGAAAATGGAGATGAATGTGGACCAGGCTTTGCACTCTGTACGGGGAATAATGGGGGACGTTATTTTATGTCATTATTTTTCATGAAATTATCTGCTATATTTGAAATGTGAGTTCCACTTTTAACTCTCATAACATTAATGCAAAAATATGTTGCTCTTTTTTTGTTTGGAAACCGCCAGTAATGCCCCTTTTCTCCACGGTCCTGGTTCTGAGCTTGCCTGGTCGTACCACACCATAGTACAAAATACATTTCATACTAAGGTCTGGATTTGCTCCATTGAGCTCCGTGAACAGGTGGGAGGGGTTAACTCCTTTTGCAGATTGAAACGATTGGATCTGAGTTTACCGTGACGTATGTAATGCGCCCGAGTCTGTCGTTAGCATTTAGCCTAGCCATCTCCTTTGCCGCTAACGGAGCCCGTGGGGAGTAGCGCCACAATCTTGACCAGCGATTACATTTGCTAAACATTCCTCTTGCTCCAGCTTCAATTTCTTGATAGAACCAGACCGGATTACTTTACTATCGCATTCTTTGCCACTGCCAAACTACAACCTGCCCGTTCGGCGCACACTCTTGACGTCACCGGCACCGACCTACAACGTGCTCGCTGATTGATCGGTCGAAATTCAGCCGATTGTAATGTAGATGGAGATGAACGTGGAGCAGGCTTTGCACTCGGTGTTGGAAACGACCTAAGACTCAGGATTCAAAGAGAATGTTGGAACTTTCTCTTATTTTGTCTTATGTTTGGAGAATGTTCTTTCCCTGCTTCCTTCGTGTCTGTCCAAACAATCTGCAAACTTTAAAGTGCACTGGCGCCTCAAGAAACTCTTATTGACAAGTCTTTCATCGGCCGCAGCCACATTTGTGCAATGCCATTTTAAAGCCTAAATGAGATTCCTTTTTGTATGTTTTTTTTTTTTTCATTTTTGGTGCAATTTATATTATTTGTAAATTACATTCCAAGCATTGTGTATAGTGTAGCTTTCATTTACTACGTGCAAATGTCTGGTTTTAGGATCGTCTTTGTCTCTGTACTAATAAATAAATGCTACCAAACAAAAGTACGAGTTTGTTATTGACTGTTTGTCGAAGCCGTTAGAAAGTTCAGATTCAACTTTACTGTCGTTATAATGTCAGGACAACGCAACGGAATGTAGTTCAGCATCTAACCAGAAGTTTAGGGTCATACAACACCGATAAATAAGTTTGTGAGACGGCACACAGCTGCTGTTGTTAGTGAGCAGAATCAGGAATAGCTCCATGAAGCCACGATTCAGTGAAACCATGGATCGGACCAGGAGGATGCTGGGTAAAGAGGATGATTCATGTTGAATCTGGTGGAAAAATATCTAAACAATGTTCTGTAAAAGAGTTTAATTCTGTCAAAGTTACTTCTGTATTTAAAGTTTAAAAGCAAAGAATCTGCTTTAACTCCAGCTCCAGACGGGTCACATGTGCGGAGTTTGCATGTTCTTCTACCATTATAAACACAGGAGTTCAGGTTGAATGTGTTAGAGAGCTACAGTCCACAGAGAGCTACAGACCGCAGAGAGCTACAGTCTGCGGGGAGCTACAGACCGCAGAGAGCTACAGTCCGCAGAGAGCTACAGTCCGCAGAGAGCTACAGTCCGCAGAGAGCTACAGTCCGCAGAGAGCTACAGTCCGTAGAGAGTTACAGTCTGCAGAGAGCTGCAGTCCGCAGAGAGTTACAGTCCGCAGATAGCTACCGTCTGCAGAGAGCTACAGTCAGCAGAGAGCTACCGTCTGCAGAGAGCTACAGTCCGCAGATAGCTACCGTCTGCAGAGAGTTACAGTCAGCAGAGAGCTACAGTCAAAGAACAACACGGGGTTCAAATGAGTTCCTTCTGCAGAGTAGCTGGTCAGTCACAGGAGGGGCTCGGATTAGAGCTGTTGCTCCTCCACATCCAGAAGCATCTGTTGGAATGCCTACTCCTCCAGGAGTCCAAGTCCAAGTCTGAAACCCAGGAGTCCAAGTCTCGAAGTCCACGTCTAGAACCCAAGGGTACCAGTCAAGTCCAAGTCTCAAACCCAGGAGTCCCACTTTAATCCAAGTCTGGAACCCAGTAGTCCAAGTCCGAGTCTGGAACCCAGGAGTCCAAGTCAAGTCCAAGTCTCATAGTTTTACAGATTATGATTATGACCCAATACAATTTACAAATAACTAACCGATGATTTATTTTTTAATTGGAAGAGGGGCTCCAGCCTGAGACTCACACGACAGCTTCTGCAGAGACACCGGGGAAATGTTTGTATGTGACATCACCATGGCACCACTAATCCCCTGAACGTTAATTGAGCTAATTGGCATGTATATATTATCCCTTTCATGACACTGATCTCTGTCATGTAGCTGACGCACATTATTGAAATGACGTATTTTTCCATACCATAATAAACTTGAGTCATAATTATTCTTCTTTGTTTATTTGAAAATAGTTGTATACATTTTACAGCAATAGTTTATCATACAGGGAAGTCATTTCTTGTGACACTAAATTTTAGCGGGAGCCGTTGTTGAATCCTTTGTGATTGCTTCAATAGTAAATTCACAAGTTGAATAAAATAAAATATAAACACTTTACAATGGCTTGGAAAAGTTAGAGAAATAAAACAAGGGAGATTGTAAAAATAAATGATCAGAACCAAATACACAGGAATTTTGGACGAAATCTTGAGTCTGAAAACACTGGAGCCAAGAGTTACCTTCAAACCGGACTCTAAACGAAACCAGAGCCACGATGGAATGTTGGAATGGCCCAGTCAGAGCACAGACTGAGATCCAATTGAAAATCTGTTGAAAAATAGATGAACGAGGAAGAGGACGTGGGCTGTCGGTGTTTGGCCTGTGCTCCTGCAGTGCCTCAGTAGTCCACCGGGGGCAGCGTCACCATCTGAGTGAACTTCACGTGGTCGATGCTGCCGTTTGGTTTGACTTTGGCCTCTTTGAACAGATCGTCCACTGCAGACACAAAGCACCAGTCGTTTTAAACCTGTACTAGTATTTGTGTAAGATTTTTAAGTACTCGACTACATTTGAAAACAGTTACTTTACCAGGACCAAAGAGGACAGTTTTAGTTGAAGTTTTCAGGAATAATTGCGAAAAATAAATATTCACAAGACTGTGTTCTAGACCAGGCATGTCCAAACTGAGGCTCTATGTGGTCCTCTGCCGCTAACACAGTAGGTAGAGTAGTGTAAAGTAGTAGAGTAGAGATTATAAACACAGTGTCATCCAGCCAACTTCAGCTCAGTCCATAAAGGCATGCAGTACCTGGTTGTTCAGCCGTGTATTTGTATGTGCTGTATGAATCTGTTTTCGATTGCGTAACACAATTCTATTATTGGTGCTAATGAAGCTGGTGAGATGGCAGAAAGTCACCCAGCCAACTTCAGCTCTGTCATAGCCAATTATGAAGCGCAGAAGATCCCAAATCTATTTATCGGCCCCTGGACACGTCTGGTTTAAATAACGTGGCCCCTCAGGCTAAAGGTTGTTATTTTTTTTCATTAGCTCTAGAAAGGGGGGGCTGTGTTGCTTGTTTCTTTGTCTGATTTGTTTTCCAGTCGTAGCGTCACAGCGCCTCCATCAGGCCAAAATCTTACATTAGAAAACTCTCAGGTGAAAGGGATTTGTTTTTCAGCTTTGTGTGGACAGACATTTACACAGCCGCTTCTGTCTGTACATACTACAATGACAAAATGAAAGGCTTTTTCATCTTCGTCTGGACAGGGTCTTACCATACAATCGTACTCTTTTCATTTTGTGCAAAGGTCTGGATTTACACCATTGACTCAGTTAACAGGTGACAGGGATTGACTCCTTTTGAAGAAGGAAACGATTGGATCTGAGTTTACCTGAGTTTAGTATGTTATGTGCCTGATTGATGGAGGCATTTAGCCTAGCTTTAGCATTTAGCCTAGCTTTAGCCATCTCCTTTACCACTAACAGTAACGAAGCCTGTGGGGAGTAGAGCCACAACATCTTTGCCAAATTTACTAAATGTTCCTCTTTCTCCATCTTTTTTCAAATTTCTGGATATTTGGAGACAAACCAGAACAGATTTCTTGACTATAGTTCTTGAAACCTCCGTGATCATTTGGGGGGGGTACCTTCTTTGTGCGTGAGCTTCTCCCCCAGCGTGGTGAGCTTGGCCCTCAGCTCCGTGGCCTGGATGTAGCCTTTCCTCTGCTTGTCCGTCATCCTCAGAGCCTCCAGGATCTCGGCCTCGGGGTCCTCCTGCTGCATCTGCCGGTGCATCATGGTCAGGAAGGTCGAGAAGTCCACCAGCCCAGACTTTTCTACGGCATCAGGAGAAGAGCAGAGTCATGTTGTTAGATCGTTAAATCTTTACATTATGTTATGCTTGGGTCAACTTTACCCGCCACACTGAGTAAAAAATACCCTAAATATTTATCATTTTGCTGAATTTTGTAATTTTCATAGCTTGACCAGCCTTGGGTCATTGTGTCTCTTTTAGGCACACATTTAAGGTAATTTTCTACTAATTTTTATCATCTGTGCCTCTTCATTTTGACCTGAGGGTAGCACAACGTTTAAAGCTGGGGTACCCAACTTTCAAGGCATAATAACGTGGAGCGTTCTTTGCTATCACTAGTTTTCACATGGATTATTGGCCCCAGGGACACCTTTAGATCAGCTTTTTCAGACAGAAAAGTGAAAAAGGCCTCATTCAGCCAATCAGTGAGTCAGTGAGTCAATAAGTGACACACAGGGCTCTTTGTTCCACATTTGTGAAAGAAAACATGTTTCTAACAAGATGAAGACGGCCTGTTGGGGTCTTTTTCATTCTCAACATTATAATTTGACTCTTCCTGTTTGGACAGATATGTGGAAAAAGTTAGATACCTCAGCTTTAAGTAAAAAGCTGACTAGAAAATGGGTGGAGGGCCAATGTGGCACATACTGGCTGCCTCGCATAAGTCTGTGTGCCCCAGGGCAGCCGTGGCTATGTTAGTAGTTTCTCACTGCTGTGTTTGGAGTGAAAGGATGCTTACATGTGAAGCGTCTTTGAGTAATCAAAAAACTATACACGATTCAAACCCATGCATTATTGAAAACCACAAAAGTTATTTCTCGGTGTTTGTGTCCTTTATGCCACTTTGCGTTTCAGAGAAAAAATAATCTTTGTCAGCTGCATATTTTATTATAATGTTGAAAACAGTGTTGCCATCTGAGGATTACAAAGTTGTGCGAAGGGCGCTCATTTGAGATGAGAGAAAGGGGAAATGAGTTTTGTTTTGAGAGCGATTGAACACAAACTATAAATATTGATAAGAATTTATGAGTCCGGATGAAACCTGTGGATCTGAAAGGACCTACGTTTTTCACATGTTTAATGAAGTCTACATTTAAGGAGTTTATATTTGTAAGAGGAAAGTTTATATTATCTTGTTTGAACTATTTTTGTATTTTGTCACATGCAATGTTAACAACACGGTCAAAAACATGTAGTAAAATGACTAGTTTTATTTAAGTAGTCAAATAAACATGTAACAGCTATAACATTATTAGTTATATTTCCACAGTGTTCATGAGGCGCATACGGGAAGAAGTCTCTCTTTCTCTCTCTTCAGTCTCTCAGTTCTTGCCTCCCTCCAGAGGGAGTCACTGGAACAGCTCAGGATGGGGACGGTGAATGTCTGCCATGATCTGCTGTGCTCTCCTCACACAGCTCTTCATGTACAGCTCCTCAGGCTGGAGCAGTGTTGTTCTGTTCTGGTCTCGCTCCCGTACGTGAGTGTGAGGCAGCTCCAGAGCGCAGACTCCACAGCGGCACAGTAGAAGTTCTTCTGCAGTCTGGCCAAGATGTTAACCTGTCTCAGTTTCTTGAGGTGGTACAGCCGCCGCCTGGACTTCTTTACCACAGGGATGTGTTGGTCCCATGTCCTGTCCTCAGTGATGTTGACTTTGCATCTAATATTATTGTCATGACATTCTCTACCCCTTAATCCATTTCAGAGTCAGGAGGGGCTGACTCTGAAATGAATCAGAATTAGAGCTACACACTGCTCAAAGCACCAGCCCCTCACTGATCCTCCATCATCGAAGACACGGCCTTGGTCTTTCAGCGGGGGCTTCAGGCAAAGTGGGGTTAAGTGGACACAACGACAGCAGACTTCAGAGGACGCGGATGACATGGGTTGTAGGGGGGATTGAACCTACGACCATTAGGTCCATATACATAGTAAATAGTTCTTATTCATAGTAGTGTAAAGTTGATGTGAATTGAGCTTTTTTACATTAGCTGTATTTTTGGTGCTGGTTTGGCGTCTAATTTGTACATTTCTTTACATTAAAATGAGGAAGGAGTTCATAAGCTTTTTTTTCATCCTACTCTCCTGTCCTTCTTTTTGTGGAATTTATGACTGTTGTATTTGCCGAATTATTGTGGTATTTTGTTGCATTACCATAAAAAATGGAATGGATGAATTGGATTGATAAAATAAATGATTAAATAGAATAAACAAATAGATACAATAAAATTAAATAAAATGAATAGAAAGAGTAAAAATTAAATACAATACAAATAGAATAGATCAAATAAAATAAATACAAAATTAATAATTTTATAATCATATTAATAATAATAATATAAAAATACAAATAACCGTACATCGGGTCCATCCAATGTCACTGTTGTGTCCTTATCAAATAAACAAATACATTGGGTTAGCCCTGTGTGGAGTACGTACCGATCTTATGCAGCTGCAGGTGCCGGTCCACCTCCCCCACCGTGGGGCTGGTCCCCAGGCAGCGCATGACGGTGATCAGCTCCTTCACCTGGATCTTCCCCTTCTGCTGCCGGTCGTACAGACTGAAGCACTCTTTGAACTCTAGCATAAAGCAGACAAGTTATTTTTGTTTCATGAATCAGATCCTGTTTTGACATCGCAGAAAGAAGATGGATTCTTACCATTGATTTGAACTGGAGTGAAGAATTTGGCCTGTAGCAGTGAGATGGACACACACACACACAAACGCAAAGACACACGCAAAGACACGCACGCACACATACAAACAAAGACAAATGTTTAGTCCAAGTTACTACTCAGCCTCTGAGTATAATTCCATATGTCATGTCTAAACTAGAGGGATTCATGCAGAAGACTCCTGTATCAGCCCAGACCAGCTGCAGTATCTTCAAAATGCTGCAGCTCTGGTTTTAATGATAACCAGGAAGTCCTCTCACATTAGTCCTGGTCTCTCCCCTGAAGACCTCAGACATCAGTCCCTGCCATGGACTGTAAACATAAACGCATATCTCCGCCGTTGAAACTATAGTGTACCATCACATCGCGGGGCAGGAAAATGGGAAAAAAAAGCATTTGCGCATACTTTAGCTGCACTAGCCCAATTCATTTAACGAGTGCCTTCAAAAGTCCACAGCGGCTGAACTAGACTGGTCCAAAAAATACTCCCCTCAGCCTTGACAGCATTTGAAATGTAGCTTTGGTCCAAGAGCCACTTTTGGACCATGCTGTAAAGAGGTTTTTGAGAGGAAAGAAGACAAAAGCATTGGGTGATTCTCTTTCCAGGTACACCCCCACCGACCCGGGGTGGTATTGTAGTATGACAGCGCACGGACCTTTTGGACTGGCTTGCTGTGGCTCAGACAGTGGGGGAGGGTCCCGGCTCAAAAGTGGCCAAAATGACGTGTGCTGACATGCTGCAATACCACCCCGGGCCGATGGGGGTGGACCCAGAAGAGGCCAATGCTAACATATAGCATTGGCAGACCTCTCAAAAACGTCTTTACAGGATGGACCAAACGTTGGCTCTTGGCCCAAAGTTCCCTTCCACATTTGTGTCAATGCTGAGGGGGGTGGATTTTCTTGGACCAGTCTAGTTTACTCGCTGTGAATTTTTGAAGCTGCGCCGGCTGACACATGCGCAGATGCGTTTTTTCACAATTTTCTTGTGGGCGGGACCACTCACAGCCATTTTGGATAGCTCCAGTAGAGCAGAATTTTTGGCCCATTAGTTAGAACGGCGGAGATAGGCGTGACTCTGTCCATTATTTTTTACAGTCTATGGGCTCAGAGAATAAACGTTAACCCTTTAATGTTCACTCCTTGAAGAAAACATGTTTGTATTTTTGTTGTAATGTTTTAGTTTTGTTTTATTATAGACCCTTAACCAAATGGCTCTGATCCAGTTTGATGGTAAAAGTGTCTCAAACCAGTTGATTCAAGTAGGTAAAGTGACTTAAAAATGAATCTTTCGAATGGTTGGAGAAACAATTAAAGGGTTTTAAAGCAGTTCTGTTTGTCTCTCTCATGTTAGTGCCATATCAACCAACTGGGATTCTGAAAACCACAGGGACCGGCCTCCTGCTGGTCCCAAAACACAAGGAGTCATTGTTTTATATTAATGCAGCTAAAATTCTTCCTCAAAATATTGATTTCCTGGCGAACGATTGGCCAAAGAATCACTGAAACATTTTTTTTAATTTTATTTATCCAGGAAAGTCCCATTGAGAACCTCTTTTTCAAGGAAGTCCCGGACAAAAATTACAGATTATAAAACAGTTACATACAATTACAGTGGTGAGTAAAGGCTTTGCAGTTCGTAATGAAATGAACATTTTATTGAATCAAGTACAGATTTTTTGTATTTTTTCCCTCTATATTTAAGTCTTACCGTTGAAACTGTGTAAAATGTCTGACAATGGCTGACAATATTCAATATACTTCTTTAGGAATTAAACCTTTGCCTTGTTTCTGATGAATACTTTGGCTTTCTACGCTACTGTTTAGTGTTGGTCATTTGTGGTTGTACTTGGTGTAAAAAGTTTGAGAACCACTGGTCTATTCAACTGCAGGATTGAAACGATTACTATAGAAACAGAAGAATACTCATTTACAAAAACTAACTATAGTCACAATTCTCTTCAAACCAGTGAAACATCCTCTGGCATAAAAAGGACAAATCTGTAAAAACTAACTAATAATAATCTGTCATGCTGTGGGCAGAGCACTCACCATAGCTGCGGTGTCGGTGTGTTCCAGGAAGTAGTCCAGTCCGTGCCGCACCTGTCTGTCCAAAGTCCACCTCCTCAGAGCGTAGCCATGGCAACGCTGACACCGGAGCCGGGAGGGAGGCTGCGGATGGGAGACTAAACACAGTGTGACACGCCTGCTTAAACACGCTGCTTTCACTGCTCTGCGGGAGACGCTCAGCCCACACCGCTCTTTTAATGCACGGGCACGGACATGGAAACGTTTAAAGCTTGGGGACCTAAGTTTGAGGAACCATTAGGAATAACTGAAAAACTATCCATCGATCATTTATTTATGTACAAGACAAGAGTGATTCAAAACACGGGTGAAAATACATTAAAAAGTAAATTAAATATCCAATTACTTCATATTAAAGGAGCAGTATGTAAAAATCTGGCCAAAATTGGAACTGCAACCGCTCCCACTCTCCCTGACTCAGGTTGCCAGATATGCAGACGAATCCAGCTGGGACCATTATATCTGAATAGACAAGGCAACAAATCTATAATCAATAATCTTTTTCACAGAGATTAAAATCCTGGTTTTATTCCTTGTTTTGTCGTTAATGATTTGAGAATCATAACGAGACCTTTTTTAGTTCTGCGGCCACATGGTACTTTACCCGTGAGATTAGCTCCACGTGGTGAGATTTGGCAACCCGGATCATGGACTTTCTGATTGGTAAAACGGTGGAGGGCGGGACATCGAAATGAAAACAATAATAGGGCTGGAAAGCGGAAGTGCGAGATTTTGCGAGATTTCCACCCGCGGATACAAACAAACCACACGTGCCACTTGTATGGTGCTGAGATCGCCGACTTCTTCCTCCTTAAAGGACTTTCCTGTGTTATTTTGGACACATTTCGTCTCTGGGACAGAAAAACTGAGTGAGCGGTCGGAATTAGCTGTGAACTGACCATGTCCTGACGTTTATATGACGGGGAGATGAGAAAGGTGCAGGGCCGTGTTTACTAGTTACGTAAAACTTATTGTTTTTTAATCCACTATTATGCATCAGAAAGACAATATAGAAACACTATTCCCATGCAAATACATTGATGTCCCTTACAGCTATCTTTGCTGCGTTGGTTATGAGCCAATGTTTATGAATGATCAGTTTTCTATCTGTACATTAGCTCCATCTCCACTTCACACTCACTGCAGCTTCACATTGGGCCTTTTTTCTTTTTGCTGTGCTGTCAAAAATAATATGATGTAGTTGGGTTACCTATTCATTTACTAGCTACTAACTAATATTATGATTGTCCGTTTTCTGTTTATATTTGAACATTTGTTGAATGTTATTTAATATGTGCTAATATGTTCCTCCTTTATTTCTCAAATAAATAAATACATGTCTCCTGTGTGACAACAATAAAGTTAATCTTATCTTAAAATACAAGCCACAATGAAAGGCTCGGCAGCGCACTACAGGTTAGCATTAGCTACAAGTTAGCTTGAATACATATTCAAGTTAACCATCTGTAAAATCAGACAAAATGTTTTATCACAACTGCATAGCTTTTCCCACAGCTTCAGTTGGTCTTTGGGAAACCCAAAAAATGAGCATGCTTCATGTAAACTTTGATGATAACAGCCGAAAACAAAGCAGAGCATTTTGCACCATTCACTTAAACAGCCTCTTTGAACAGCTGACGATTTGTTTGTATCCGAGCCATGAACCGGAAGTGCTTCTGGGACTTTCCAGCCCTATAAGATTGAGGGGCTGGAAAAGTAATGTTGAAATTTCAATATCTCTGAACTACTGTTAGCAGTTAAAGAAGTATTGGAAAAGAGTGTGTTTTATTAATGCCTTTTGACAGATTAGGGCCCTTATAATGAAGTTCCTAGTTTGTCTTTTGTATTTTTAGCTTAGCTGTTGTGAGTAAAAGAAGACTAGCCCTCTGAATGTAAAACCTTATGTATTTTTTATGTTTAAGACTTTGATAGTTCTTTTGATCAAGGAGTTAAGCAGTACTAGCTTTTTGACTCTTAATTTCTAATACTGTACTATGAAGGCAGCAGGTCTGGTCTGGTTTGGTCACACACATAAAAATACCTAAACTAAACATTGGCAGGCAGCGTTTCAGATTTAAGCAGCAAATATCTGGAATAGTCTTCCTAAAAATGTGAAACAGGCTTCTTCTCCGGGTTAAAACCGTTGTTTCGCTGTGACTGAAGTGAAAGTAAAATGAGACATGACTTTTGTTGATATAAAAAACTGTGTAGAATGGTTTATGTCTCTGTGTGTATCATGTACCTTGAGTTTAGTGTCATTAAGTGTCCTGTTTTATGAATGGATTTCTGCCTAATATATTATGCCACAAATGGATGTATCTCAGATGTATTGGTAAACTGCACTTATGGTTACTTCAGGGCAGCCTCCTCGATCCTGCACCACTCGGCCTTGGCTCGCGAGCTGGGGTCTCCAACATGTAACTCGGGAGCAACCAGTAGCTCGCCAACCCCTTTAAGGTAGCTCCCCAAAGGATTTAGAATGATTCAACACATGTTCTTGAATGATTCACATTTGAGTCACTACATATCTAATATAAGTATGATTGCTGGTGGCTGAGTGGATAGCACTCTCGCCTCTCAGCAAGAAGGTCCTGGTTCGAATCCCGGTCGGACCAGGGCCTTTCTGAGTGGAGTTTGCATGTTCTCCCTGTGTCTGCGTAGGTTTCCTCCGGGTACTCCGGTTTCCCCTACCACTAAAAATATGTCCAATAGTTCTGGCATGCGCCTCCTGTACTGGCGACCCCGCTCCCATCTCTGTGTGGAGTGAGAGACAAATGCCCAAAATTAACAATTGTAAACCGCTTTGAGACTCAGATCTGCAGTGAAAAGGCGGTATATAAATAAAAACTTACTTACTTACTTACTTATTATGGAAGTATTAGTAATATGGTAAATTTTACAAGTTTTTCCATGTTTTATGGTAATTATAACATAGATTTTTATTATGACTGCAAAAAGTAGTACAAACTTCTGTTGTATAAAAGTTGCTCTCTGATTGAAAAAGGTTGGAGACTGATCTTCAGCCTGTCCGTCTGTGGGAGAGAATCAGACTTTCTCAAAATGGGCCTTTTCGATCTTTCTCACTCTTGCACTGGGTTTTTGACTCGGCCCGTGCTGAGGCTGGTGGGTCTAAGAACACTGATGATCCCGCTCCCTATGAACCAATGGCCATGGTTATTATTGCACTTCCTATGATCGCTTTGATTCTCTGATCTGTTGTTGAGGAATCAGTAACATTTTAAAGTCCTCCAAGACGACTGCTTTTGTGATTTCAAATGATGCCGTGTCCCTGATGTTAGCTGCAGCTGGTGCCTGTGACCTGCTCTGAGCTTCAGATATTCATGAGTTCACAGAAACACCAGAGACATGAGGCCACGTGTGAGCCATAGACCGTAGTGTGAGCGCTGCAGCCGAGGATTCTGGGAAAAAGAACATTCATAACGAGGTCTGAGGTCTCGTATTCAGCTTGTGATGTCACTCCTTACAGAACACACAGCATCAGTTTGTGTTCGTTTTCAAGCCCAACTTTCACCAATATTTCCTTTTTGTTCTGAAGCGCTGACACTGCTGCATTCTGTGTGTTTTAGCAGCAGTTTTTTAGTGTTGAGTAGATTAGAAAAATGTAAGTTAAAGGTGAGGTGCGTGAATTTTTCCCTTGAGTAGTACAATCTGTTTTGTGACAATGGAAAACGTCTCCTCAGCAAATGTAATAATAATAAATAATAATACATCAAACCATCAATTTTGGTTTTTAAGCCTTGTGTTGTCCTTTGAGTCAAACTGATGAGCTGCAATGATTAAAAGTAGAAGAAAAATAGCCTAAATTAAATTATAAAAAGGTAAAATGACCCAGGGCTGAGGAAAAGTCAACATTCAGTTAAAAAAACAATTATTTAGGATATTTTCTAGTCACTGTGGCGGGTCCATTTGAGTCAATTGAAGCTTCTCTTCCTCCACTCTGCCCTGAGGCCACAGCCACAGTGGACTGAGTAAATGAATAATTCTGAAGCGTGTCACTAAAACCGCATAAAAACATTTTTATTGATTGACTGCGGAACCTTCCGCAGTCAACCATTGGTTTTGTATTTCTTTATTCCGTCATTTTTTTTGACACGTTTCACAGCTTTCACATTTTCAACAATTTCCACAAGTTATACATCAAAACGTTCCACATGTTTGGGAGATTATTGCTATTACTTTTGGGACTTCAGCGATTTCCGGTTTTTCCGCAATCGGACAAAAATCTGCATTGAGAATTCTGCAATGCATTTTAATAGGCCCATGCATTTTAATAGGACTTCAGCTCTTTCAGACATTTCTACAGTTTCAATGATTCAACAGTTTCAAGGATTCAACAGTTTCAAGGATTTCAGCAGTTTCAAGATTTCAAGAGTTTCAAGGACTTCAACAGTTTCAAGGACTTCAGCAGTTTCAAGGACTTCAGCAGTTTCAAGGACTTCAGCAGTTTCAAGGACTTCAGTGTAATCATGCAACCTAATAGGGATTTTTCCATGTAAACCAGTATAATGCAACTTAATAGGGATTTTTCCATGTAAACCAGTATAATGCAACTTAATAGGGTTTTTTCATGTAAACCAGTATAATGCAACTTAATAGGGTTTTTTTTCATGTAAACCAGTATAATGCAACTTAATGGGGATTTTTCCATGTAAACCAGTATAATGCAACTTAATAGGGGTTTTTACATGTAAACCAGTATAATGCAACTTAATAGGGTTTTTTCCATGTAAACCAGTATAATGCAACTTAATAGGGTTTTTTCCATGTAAACCAGTACAATGCAACTTAATAGGGATTTTTCCATGTAAACCAGTATAATGCAACTTAATGGGGATTTTTCCATGTAAACCAGTATAATGCAACTTAATGGGGATTTTTCCATGTAAACCAGTATTATGCAACTTAATAGGGATTTTTCCATGTAAACCAGTATAATGCAACTTAAT